TCTTCAAGAATGGGCTCTGGTTAACTGTGGCTTTAAAAGAGTTCCACAGGCCTGTCACAGTGGCTCACTCCTGTAATCCTAGCACTTTGGGAGGGCGAGGTAGACAGGTTGCTTGAGGCCAGGATTTTGAAACCAGCCTGGGTAACATAATGAGACTCCCATCTCTACAAAAAAAATTTTTTTTAAATTATCCTGGTGTGGTGGTGTGTGCCTGTAATCCCAGCTACCTGGGAGGCTAAGGGAGGAAGATTACTTGAGCCCAGGAGTTCAGGTTGCAGTGAACTATCATGACACAATTGTACCCCATCCTGAGCATTAGAGCAAGACCCTGTCTCTATTAAAAAAAAAAAAAAAGAAAAAAAGAAAAAAAGAGTTCTACAGGGGATTCTGATTTGCAGCTAGGGCTACCAGGCTGTACTTTGGTAGTAATTAAATACCTCTGGAAGAGTTCTTCCAGTTTATGGGAGAAACTGCTGAATGATTTTTCCGATAAAGTTTCTCTAAAGACTACCAGTTGGCATAGTTAGTTCCATTAAAAAATGCATTTTTTTGAGACAGGGTTTTGCTCTGTCTCTCAGGTTGGAGTGCAATGGAGCAATCACAGCTCACTATAGGTCTCAACCTCCTGGGCTCAAACAATCCTCCTGCCACAGCGTCCTGAGTAGCTGGGACTACAAGTGTGTGCCACCACGCCCAGCTAATTTTCGTATTTTTTTGTAGGGATGGAGATTCACCACATTGCCTAGGTTGGTCTTGAACTCCTGGGCTCAAGCTATCTGCCTGCCTCAGCCTCCCAAAGTGCTGGGGTTATAGGTGTGAGCCACCGTGCCTGGCCTAGTTCCATTTTTAAATCTGGAGTTTTTCTTGATGACTGTCAAATAGAATCCACAGAAAGTGACATAATAAGCTCACTACATACTCAAAGATCAAAATCTTACTTTGCTATTGACATGTGTAATCCAATGTACCAGGTCTTGGACCAAACGTTTACATAGGCCATGTTACTTAATCAGTTCCACAGTGGTGTGAGGGATTACCACCATTTTATAGATTAGGAAACAACTCAGTGGTAAACTTAGTTTAGATAGCTAAAGTTACAAAGCTAGTAAGTGTTCAAATAGCGTTATTAATATTGAGGTAATACATGTAAGCTTGTATGCTTATAGTACTTTCAATGCTTTATATATATAGAGTAAATAACTAGGTTATAACTTTTAAAATACACACAATAGCTCCATGAATAGAAAGTATTGTCAATATCATCTTTATTTTATTGCCTGTAAAATAAAGGATGTGAATTCAAGATACCTGGTTCCAGAACCTAGGCTCTTGGTTACTAAATCATAAGGCTCAGCCCACTGTACTCAACTACACTTGAGCCAAATTCTGTCTGATAACAAAGTGTAAGCTTTTCCCATATACCAAGTACAGGAGAATAAGTATTTCCAGGCTTCAACAATGTTTTGGTTCAGTTGGGTAGGCAGTATTATATGAAAGTTAGGGACAGAACCTGATTTAGATGTAAAGTATGTGGTATAGACCAAGTGTTTTGGGAGTTTGGTAAAACCTAGACTTGGGACTATTGAGCTGGATCTTGGAGATTGAATAGGATTTGGGTAAGCAAGAGGGAAGCCATGCATAAGTGAGGTTGGAGAGGCAGATGTGAGCATAGCACATTCACGGTAGGCTGAGAAGATGGTCCCCACCAAGCTGGGGAGTATCTATTAAGGAGCACAAAACAAGATTGGCTTGTTATGGAGAGTCTTCAACCATATTTTTCAGAATAAAGACAAGAAATTCAAGTGAGGGCCAAGTGAGGTGGCTCCCAAAAAATGCAAAAATTAGCCAGATGTGGTGGCCTGCACTTGAAGTTCCCAGCTACTCAGGAGGCTGAAGTGAGAGGCTCTCTTGAGCCTGGGAGGTCAAGGCTGCAATGAGCCATGACAGTGCCACTGCATTCCAGCCTGGGCAACAGAGCAAGAGCTTGTCTCAAAAAAAAAAAAAAAAAAAAAAAAAAAAAAAAAAAAAAGTCACGCAAGTGAGAAAGAGCTGATATAGCTGTACTAACCCCACGGAAACTGGTGCTATGCTGCTGCTAAGCTTCCAAGATGTTGTTCTCTTACTGCCTACTCCTTATTTTCCTTGTTAAAGATAAAAGACCAGTAGAAAATCTACAAATTGCTTTAGCAAAACCTGGGTTTCCTTGAATCACAGCAGGTGATTCAAATCTTCATGACCGATGTCATATTACCTCAATCCCACAGCTTTCTAGGGACCCAATCTGGTAAATAAAATGGAAGGCAGATTTTATATTACTTAAATGCAAAGTCTTCCTTAGAGATGTTTGAAATTTCATGCGTTAAGTGTTGCCATCTTGCTGCTGCTTTTAAAAATACATTCTCTTTGGAGCATGGATATTAAGTTTCTTTTTAAAATTAAAAAAAAATTTAGATCCAGGGGATACACATGCAGGTTTGTTACATGGGTATATTGTGTGATGCTGAGGATTGGGCTTCTAATGATCCCATCACCTATGCCCAAGTAGTGAACATAGTACTCAATTTTTTTTTAATTTCTTGCTTTTTTTTTTTAAGAGCCAGAGTCTTGCTCTATTGACCAGGCTGGAGTGCAGTGTTGAGCTCTTGGGCTCAAGTGACCCTCCCACCTCAGCCTCCTGAGGAGCCGAAACTACAGCCTTGTACCACTACACTAGGCTAATTTGTTTTATCTGTAGAGGGGTAGGGGAGGGTCTCACTATGTTGCCCAGGCTGGTCTTGAACTCCTGGCTTCAAGCAATCCTTCTACCTTTGGCTCCCAAAGTGCTGGGATGATAAGCATGAACTACTTCACCTGGCCCCAACCTCTTAAGTAATAATGCGGGTCAGCCTTGTCTCTCTTCTCCCACTCTCTAGGATTTATTGGGACAATGGGAACTCTGGATTTGGAAAATGGGAATGATTGAAAACCCGAGAAAAGGAATGGCAAGGTGGTGGAAATGAAGAGAACTCTTTGATTTAGAATTTTTCTAGGACCTTTTGCTTTGTGTCCTGAAAGAAAGTTGAAATAGAGTTGGAAATTTTCTTGAGTTAGAGGGTTAAGGCCTTGTTGAAATGGCAAGAATATTTTAACGCTAAAATTCATTTAAGTCTCTAAGATTTGAGGGTGATTACTAATTTCCTTTTTTTAATCTTGATTAATTTGGTTCTTCTTCATATTCTTAATAATTCAACAAATAAACCAGCATATTTATTGAGTGACTACTGTGTCCAAGAGGTGGTGTTCTAGATCAGTGTTTTTCAGCATGGAATATTTGTAACAAAACCTCCTACAACAGTGCTTATATAAGTACAGACTTCTAGGCCCCCCAGCAAACTCCCTTGCCTACCAGTCCTGAATCTCAGAGGACAGGGATTGATCTGTTTCTCAAGCACCCATAAATACCATAGTACTGGAGCACTGGTTCTCAAACTTGAGTGTGCATTGGAATCACCTGGAGGGTTTGTTAAACCACAGCGTGCCTGGACCCACCCCAGAATTTTGGATTCAGTGGTCTGGGGCGGGTCCTAAGAATCTGCATCTCTAACAAGTTTCCAGGTGATGCTGATGCTGCCGTATCACATTTTGAAAATTACTTTGAGAATTACTATGTACTGCACAAGTACAATGCACTGTGGTAGAGCATTGTGAGGAATGAATTAGATACAATTCCTGTCATTAAGGAGCTTATGCGGTAGTTGGGGGAGATACAGCATCCACTATAAAAATTTAACAAGGCAGCTGGCCAACATGGTAAAACCCCATCTGTACTAAAAATACAAAAATTAGCTGGGCATGGTGGCCTGCACCTGTAATCCCGGCTACTCAGGAGGCTGAGGCAGGAGAATCACTTGAACCTGGGAGATGGAGGTTACGGTGAGCCGAGACCATGCCACTCCTGCCTGGGCGACAGAGTGAGACTCCATCTCTTTCTCTCTCTCTCTCTCTCTCTGTCAAAATATATATATTGTCAAATATATATATTTATTATATATATATATGACATAATATATATATGACATAAATATATATATTTATGTCAAAAATATATATTTGACAATATAAAATATAATGCAATGTAATATTTGACATTGAATGGGGTCTTTAGGAGGAGATGGATTTGATTGATTTGGGTACTAAAAGATGATGAGGCCTAAGGTTCATAGGCATAAAAAAGGGAAATATAGAGGTGTACAAGGTGGGGTGGTACATACTTGTTCATCTAGCACAGAGCTTTGTTTGTTTGTTTGTTTATTTATTTGAAACAGAGTTTCTCTCTTGTTGCTCATGCTGGAGTACAATGGTGCGATCTCAGCTTGCTGCAACCTCTGTCTCCCAGGTTCAAGTGATTCTCCTGCCTCAGTCTCCTGAGTAGCTAGAATTACAGGCTTGTGCCACCACATCTGGCTAATGTTGTATTTTTAGTAGAGATGGCATTTCTCCCTGTTGGTCAGGTTGGTCTTGAACTCCTGACCTCAGATTATCTGCGCCTCAGCCTCCCAAAGTGCTGGGATTACAGGCATGAGATACCATGCCTTTTATTTTTATTTTTTATAGAGATGGGGTCTTGCTATGTTGCCCAGGCTAGTCTGGAACTCCTGAGCCCAAGGGATCCTCCCATCTTGGTCTCCCAAAGTGCTGGGATTACAGGTGTGAGCCACCATGCCCAGCCTAGCGTAGAGCTTTGTCTAGGACACTTATGGGGGAGTAAGACCCAAAAGTTGGTGCCAGTCTGTGAAGAGCCTTGAAAGCCTGTCCTTCTCTTCAGCTCCACCCACTTCATAGCCTAACCAAAAGTGCTGTACAGCCAGAAAGAGGAAGTCTCCCCTGCTGAGTGTGCAAGAGGAAGCACAAGAAGGCTCTAAGGGGCTGTGAGCCATCATGACTGATTTCACATATTAGCCAATTGCAGAGGCAACAGAAGACCAGCGCACCAACCAGGCTGGGTCCCTCCGCCCAGAGGGTGTCACCACCCAAGCTGAAAGAGTCTGGGGAGATTGGCGTTGCCATCTGGTGCTCCTCTCTCTTAGTGGCCATCATGTCTTTGACATCTGCTTACCAGCATAAATTGGCAGAGAAGCTCACTATCCTGAATGATCGAGGTCAGGGGGTTCTCATCCGCATGTATAACATCAAGAAGGTAAGCATGAGCGATGGAACCAGAACTGATTATTCCAGCAACAGTAGGGCAGGGAACCCTGAGGCGGCAGGTGCAGCAGTTAGACTCCCCGCTTTTTTTCCACTGCTTTTCCACTGACTATAATCTACATAGTCACTCAGATTATATAGGCCAGCCAGTTCAGGAAGGCAGAAGCAGAGGCTTCTTTTCAAGGCTTCCCCTTTCTAGGTATGAGTCTCACTCCATGAGGGCATCTGCTTTCCTCTGGGGATGTGGGTAGTGGTGAGGGTGGGGAAGCAGCAGCTGTGTTCCGAGAGACCTGGATAAAGGTCTGGGGCCTAACATTCTGGGTTTTATTATTTTTTTGCAGATCCTCTACACTCTGAAGAGACCTCAAGCTGGGTCTCTGGCAAAAACTTTTCTTTCATTTTCTTTTCTTTTGTTTTTTTTTGAGATGAAGTTTTGCTCTTGTTGTCTAGGCTGGAGTGCAGTGGCATGATCTTGGCTCACCACACACTCTATCTCCTGGGTTCAAGCGATTCTCCTGCCTCAGCATCCTGAGTAGCTGGGATTACAGGCTTGTACCACCACACCCAGCTAATTTTTGCGTTATTAGTAGAGATGGGGTTTCTCCATGTTGGTCAGGCTGGTCTCCAACTCCCGACCTCAGGTGATCCGCCAACCTAGCCTCCCAAAGTTCTGGGATTACAGGTGTGAGCCACCGCACTTAGTGTGGCAAAAATTTTCTATGGCAGTACTTCCCTAAAAGGAAAAAAAAATTAGATAATTAGATATTTAGATTAAAAAGGGTTGATGTCTTCTGAGGTACTCCTGGGGTGGTTCATGCTGTGGTGGTGTGTGTGTGTGTGTGTGTGTGTGTGTGTTTTCAGAATAGGAATCAAGGAATTAAAAGAAGCTGCTTACAAGAGGTGGGGCAGGGTCTGGACAAACCATAGGAAGTAAAGAGATAAAGACAGGGGTTTTTATGGGAGTTCCTGGCAGAGAAAATAGGGGACTTTATGGAGGGAGCTTTTGTGTCTTTTGTCATAAAACAAATCACCAGGAACATGGTTTCTCTGTTGCCATGAATCATGTAAATGCCCTTTGGGATAAGACACTTACACAGTAAACAAAACTGTGACACTGAATCTTGCACAAAATCTAACTCCTGAGCAGCTGCTTTTCGTGTTCCTTCCGGCTTCAGCTGAGGGGCGGGGAAACAGCTTCCTCTTTGTGCTGGGGCCAAGCAGGCATTAAGCTCTACCCATCAAGACAAAACGCCCAGGTTGTTATTTAGTTCTAAGATACTTGGCTTAATGTCTTGGAAGTTTTTCTTGACCTACTCTCATGCTTTTAAAATTTATTCCCAGGTTGCCTTTTCCTAAGACAGATTATGAGAATGAATGTTGCAAGAAGAGGTATGTTTCTGAGGAGGAGAAAGGATTGCATTATACTGTGGTTTCTCTCTGCAGACTTGTTCAGACCCCAAATCCAAGCCACCTTTCTTACTGGAAAAGTCCATGGAATCATCTGTCAAGTATATCAACAAGAAATTTCCCAACATAGATGTCCGAAGCAGCACGGTGAGAACCTGGCCCTTCTCTCCTTTCTCCGATGTAACTCTCTGCTTGAATGGCTGAGATTCTCCTCTTTTGATGCCTCTCTTCAAACTTGGCAGGGGATGGAGTAGCCTTTTTAATATAGTTTTCCAAGTTTCAACCACAGAGCTTCGGGTCGTTGTAGAGCTTTAAGTATTGAGAATTCTGAGATAAGATGGGATTCTTCCAGGGTAAGCTGGAGTGAAGCATCTCCCCGTTTCCATTGCAAGATTCACGAGAAAACATTGTTTTTGTACAAGACAGCTCTGTCAACCCGGCAGGGCGCATGTATTTTATTGTTGTCTCTGTTTCCCACTCATTGTTTCCTTGCTGTTGATCTTAGATTTATGCATCTAATGGGGTATCTCTGTGTTTCCTTTATTAAATGTTAACCCTGGAGTTTTCACCCATATTTGTAGCATCTTTGCATTCTGTTTCTTTCAGTTTTGATATAAATAGTATTACCTGTTCACCTGAAAGGGTCCTTAAAATTTCCTCTCATTTAGCTCTCTATATCTAGTCACGATCACATGCAACCATTCTACCAAGATAGATAATCTCCTTCGTTTAAAGACCTTCAGAGCACTGGAGAGTTTCTAACTTCCTCTGTCAGTATATTTCAACCCTCTTTCTTTCTTTCTTTCTTTTTTTTGAGACAGAGTTTTGCTCTGTTACCCAGGCTGGAATGCAGTAGTGCAATCTTGGCTCACTGTAACCTCTGCTGTCCCAGGTTCAAGTGATTCTTCTGCCTAAGCCTCCTTAGTAGCTGGGACTACAGGTGGCCACCACCATACCTAGCTAATTTTTGTATTTTTAGTAGATATGCGGTTTCACCATGTTGGCCAGGCTGTTCTCAAACTCCTGACCTCGGGTGATCTGCCCGCCTCGGCCTCCCAAACTGCTGGGATTGTAGGTGTGAGCCACCACACCTGGCCGCAACCCTCTTTAAGAATGTTTTAGGTATAACCACTGTTCTTCTTGAGTTACTTGGATTAACTGTCTTCTTATTTTGCCTTTGTTTTTTGTTCTTTTTTTTTTTTTGTCTTATATTGTTTTGTTTTGTGTTTCTCTCAGCAACATTTAGGACCAGTACATCGTGAAAAAGCCGAGATAATTAGATTCCTCACCAATTACTACCAGTCATTTGTGGATGTCATGGAATTTCGGGTGAGCTCTCTCGAGCCCTTTCCAATGTAGGCAAGGTCTTTCAGAGGCTGTTTGATCTTTAGATGTTCATTTATTTCCTTAATACAAGTTCTTGAAATAATGAGAGAGATATACTGCTCTGGAAAGATATCTAAGTTGTATTGTTAAATGAAAGCAAATTTCAAAATAGTATATGACACATCACAGTTCTATTTTAAAATATTATATATATTTAGTAAATACCTAGGAAAGATCTGAAATATTTTACATTAAACTGTTAAAAATAACTACCTTTGGGGATTGATTATGACTGGCTTCAATTTACTAAGCTATGCATGTTTTTTCTATTTTAAAAATTGTGGTAAAATACACATAACATAAAATTTATCATCTGAACCATTTTTAAGTATACAGTCCAGTGATATTAAGTATATTCATAATGCTGTACAACCATCTGAAACTCTCTACCCTTTATACCTTAATTCCCCATTTCCCTTTCTCTCCAGCCCCTTGCCACCACAATTCTACTTTGTTTCTGTGGTTTTGACTATTCTAAGTACCTTATGTAAGTAGAATCATAAAGCGTTTGTCTTTTTGTGGCTTGTTTTATCAGCATAATGTCCCTAAGGTTCATACCTGTTGTAGCATATCGTAGAATTTCCTTTTTAAGTGGAATGATGTTGCACTACATGAATATACTATATTTTGCTTATCTGATCATATGTTGATGGACACTTTGGTCGCTTCCAAGTTTTGGCTATTGTAAATGATGCTGTTATAAACATGGGCATACAAATATATCTTCAGAACACTACTTTCAATTCTTTTGGTTTTACACACAGAATTGGAAATGCTGGACTATGATAATTCTATTAGTAACTTTTTTTTTTTTTTTTTTTTTGAGACAGGGTCTCACTTTGTTGTCCAGGCTGGAGTGTAGTGGTGCAATCACGGCTCACTGCTGCCTCGACCTCCTGGGCTCAGGTGATCCTCCCATCTCAGCGTCTTGAGTAGCTGGGGCTACAGGTACATGCCACCACATCTGGCTAATTTTTTGTATTTTTTATAGAGATGGGATATCGCCATGTTGGCCAGGGTGGTCTCAAACTCCTGGGCTCAAGCTGTCCACCTACCTCGGCCTCCCAAAGTGCCAGATTGTGCCAGGCCTATTTTTAACGTTTTGAGGAACTGCTGTGCTGTTTTCCCCAGCGGCCGTACTGTTTTATGTTCTAACCAACAGGGCGTAAGGGCTGTAATTCCTCCACACCCTTGCCAACAATTGTTATTTTGTTTTTGAGAGTAGCCATCCTAATGGATATGAGGTGTTATCTCATTTAAGTTTTAATTTGCATTTTTGCTAATGATTAGTGATAATGAACATTTTTCATGGGTTTATTGGCCATTTATATATCTTGTTTGGAGAAATGTCTGTTTCATTCTTTGACCGTTTTTGAATTGGATTTTGTGTGTGTGTTGAGATTTAGAGTTCTCTATACAGGTTGAGTATTCCCTATTTTCAGGTTAGGAAAGCGCAACCTATATAAGTGATATATATTTGCATTATTTGAGTTTTTAACATTTCAAGTACTTTTTCACAATATTTTATTACAAACCTACTGTAAAATTTCTAGAATTATACAATGAATATTGTTTTACTCCTGGATCTCCTAATTGTTAGTATTTTGCCACATTTTCTTATCCTTCTCTTTTTTTTTTTTTTTTGAGATGGAGTCTCACTCTGTCACCCAGGATAGAGTGCAATGGTGTGATCTTGGCTCACTGCAACCTCCGCCTCCTGGGTTCAAGCTATTCTCCTGCCTCAACCTCCCAAGTAGCTGGGACTACAGGTGCACACCACTACGCCCAGCTAATTTTTGTTTTTTTAGTAGAGGCGGGATTTCACCATGTTGGCCAGGATGGTCTTGATCTCTTGTCCTCAGGATTTGCCCACCTCGGCCTCCCAAAGTGCTGGTATTACAGGTGTGAGCCACCGCACCCAGCCATTTCTCTCTATTTTTTAATGAACTATTTGAAGCTAACTATTAGGTGACCTACATTTTACAAGCTTTTAAAAAATTATTTATTATTTTATGGAGTCTCACTCTGTCGCCCGAGCTGGAGTGCAGTGGTGCAATCTGGCTCACTGTGACCTCTGCCTCCCAAGTTCTAGCAATTCTCCTGCCTCAGCCTCCCGAGTAGCTGGGATTACAGGCAAGTACCACCACGCCTGGCTAATTTTTTTTTTTGTATTTTAGTAGAGATGGGATTTCGCCATGTTGCCCAGGCTGGTCTTGAACTCCTGAGCTCAGGCAATCCACCCACCTCGGCCTCCCAAAGTGCTAGGATTATAGACGTGAGGCACTGTGCCTGGCCTATAATCTTTTTTAATTTAGAGGAATGGGACACAGGGATGATAACATCAGGAAGAGTGTATATATAATATAATAGAGACTTGTGCCTATGGAAATGTAGGCATTTGGCAGTGTAGCTGATAGGGGCCCACTGTTGGCTTACTAAGGAGGAACTTCCTCCCTCTTTTGACAGTGACTTTCTTCTGTTACTGGGCTTTCTAAGACCTCTAAGGGAGAGGTCCCTTCCTAGAAGTTCTGGTAGTACATCACCTTCTCTTTGTTCTTTATTCATTTTTGTCTTCACTTCCACCTCTAGGATCACGTATATGAACTTCTCAACACCATTGATGCCTGCCAATGCCATTTCGATATCGTAAGATCCTTTGCAATTCTCTTCTATGGTAGAGTCAAAGAAAAGGCCAGGTCTAGGTTGGGAAGTCTAGGTCTAGTCACAGGATGGGGTGGGAAGGGACTGGAAGAATGGCTATTTCATTTATTACTTCTCAGGACTGTAATTGTTTTGTAAAAAGTGCTGAAGTGAAAATGTATTTACATGTTAAGCAGATCACCAATGTGATTTAATTAATTAAAAATTACATAAAAATCTTCCTCACCTTATCCATCTCCTAAGGGTTACCTTATTTCCTGGCCCCTTTGTATCTTGAGCTCACTATTTTTTTTTTTTTTTTTTTTTTTGAGACGGAGTTTTGCTCTTGTTGCCCAGGCTGGAGTGCAATGGCGCGATCTCGGCTCACCGCAACCTCCGCCTCCTGGGTTCAGGCAATTCTCCTGCCTCAGCCTCCTGAGTAGCTGGGATTACAGGCACCCGCCACCAATGCCCAGCTAATTTTTAGTATTTTTAGTAGAGACGGGGTTTCACCATGTTGACCAGGATGGTCTCGATCTCTTGACCTCGTGATCCACCCGCCTCGGCCTCCCAAAGTGCTGGGATTACAGGCTTGAGCCACTGCGCCCGGCCGTTGAGCTCACTTTTAGTCCCTGACTTTTGTTCTAATTTTCTTGTTCTTCTTTTCAATCCTGTCAGTTTCTACTTCTAAATAGATTCACTCAATCTATTGAGCACTGTCTCAAGTGGTTGGGGAAATAAGGAAATCCAGGTTAACTGGCCATGCTGTCCTTGGATTCCTATGTATTTTCCTTACAGAATCTCAACTTTGATTTCACTCGGAGTTACCTGGACTTGATTGTGACTTACACCTCAGTCATTTTACTTCTGTCACGGATTGAGGATCGACGGATACTCATTGGCATGTACAATTGTGCCCATGAGATGCTGCATGGGCATGGGTGAGTTAAAAGGATAGTATTACATGAAGAGTCTCATACATGGTGCTATGATACAGAGAGTCCCTCATACAAGGGAAATCAATGCCATGATTTCTTATATGAGAACCTATAATCTACAGCGACCCAGGTAAAATAAGGTACACTTTAACATATTCAGTAGACTCTGAAACAACACGGGTGTGAACTGTGCGGGTCCACCTTATACATGGATTTTTTTCGACCAAACGTGGATTGAAAATGGAGTGTTTGTGGGATGGAAATCCACCTATATAGAGGGCTGATTCTTCAAGTGGTGTGGATTCCTCAAGACTGTCTGTGGGACTTCAGTATGCATGGGATATTGGCATACGTGGGAGTCTTAGAACCAACCTCCCTGCCTATACTGAGAGGGAGCTGTAGTTAACTCTTAAATATCTGCTAGTGGATTATCCAATTTGCATCATCTCTGATCAATTTTTAATCCTGGACTGGCTTCTATCTGATTTTCAGGTTATTACAAAAGGCAAAGAAAATTCTCTTTAGTGTTGGTAGGAATAATATTAGTAAGGTAAATCCATCAGAGGTAACTAATGCATGGTAATATATTTGAAGCCGAATATAAATGGATTTTGAATTGTCTGCGGTTCTGTCCCCCTCCATTAGTGCAAATATAAGTATTTCAGGGCTGAAAAATGAAGGCTAAAGGGATCAGAGTGGGTTGTGTGGCACATCGTCCTATGCATGACGGGTATTCCCACGTGCCTACGTGAATACCCAGACACATGCCTTACCCATTAGCTTTGAATATTTATATACCCTTTTGGGTTGTATACTAATTTGGATCTAGGCATGTTACTTAATTTCAAATTGACACAGATTTATAGAGTACCTATCATGTGTCCAACCCTATTTTTGGTGCTTATAAGAAAGAAAATTTCATGGACCTGCCTAAAATGGAAAGGTTCTATGTAGCCATAGCTTAGTACACCTGAGCCTGGAATGGGGTATCTTTACATGTAATTTACAGTTTAGTATGTATATCTCTGGAGGTGGTGGAGAGTGCCAGCCTATGCACATATCTTTATAATATATGCAAATGTAAGAGTTCATGTCATGAGTAAGGGAGGGCTGGAAACCCTCTCCTCTGCTTTCTTCTAGTGACCCCAGTTTTGCCCGTCTGGGTCAGATGGTCTTGGAGTATGACCACCCTCTGAAGAAGCTGACAGAAGAGTTTGGGCCTCACACAAAGGCAAGTTCCCTGAGAGTGGAGAATTCCTCGGGTGGAAGTATATTGTCCTCATCACTGCCGCTAAGGTTCCATTTGCTTTTCCCCGCAGGCTGTGAGTGGAGCCCTCCTCTCTTTGCACTTCCTCTTTGTCCGAAGGAACCAGGGGGCTGAGCAGTGGCGCAGTGCCCAACTTCTAAGCCTCATCAGCACGCCCCCAGCCATGATTAACCCTGCTAATTCAGATACAGTGAGTGCTCTTTTCCTTTTGTTAGCGGAAGCATTCTTTTGCCAAGGCCATCATCTCTATAGAAGGTGCTTCTTTCAGGAAATATCAGGACTAAAGAATACTTTTGTCTTCTGCTAGGATATGTCTCTAAGTTGATCACTTCTTGTAGCTAAAAAATCACTGTTGGTTTGGGACTTTTGTTTGGATTAGGGTTAGTGGTTTAACAAAAGTGATCTCTAAGCAGTTAGCCTACACATAGAAGGAATTCAGTAAATACTCACTGAATGAATGAATGAATGAATGAAACAGTCATGAAGCAACTATTAAGCCTAGCAGCAACTTGATTTCAGGAATCAATTAACCTATTTATAGTTTTTTGAGACAGTGTCTTACTCTGTCACCCAGGCTGGAGTATACTGGTATGATCACTGCTTACTGCAGCTTCTACCTCCTGGGCTCAAGTGATCCTCCCACCTCAGTCTACTGAGTAGCTAAGATTACAGGCCTGTGTCACCATGCTTAGTTAATTTTGTTTATTTTTATTTTTGAGACTGAGTCTCATTCTGTCACTGGAGTGCAATCTTGGCTCACTGCAAACTCCCCTTCCTGGTTCAAGTGATTCTCCTGCCTCAGCTTCACAAGAAGCTAGGACTATAGGCATGAGCCACCATGCCCGGGTAATTTTTTAAAAAAAATCTTTAGTAGAGATGGGGGTTTCACCATGTTGGGCAGGCTGGTCTTGAACTCCCGACCTCAAGGGATCTGCCTGCCTTGGCTTCCCAAAGTGCTGGGATTACAGGCATGAGCCACCACGCCCGGCCTATTTATTTATTTTTTTGTAGAGACAAGGTATCACTATGTTGCCCAGGCTGGTCTTGAGCTCCTGGGCTCAAGTGATCCTCCTGCCTCAGCCTCCCAAAGTGCTGGGATTACAGGTGTGAGCCACTGTGCCTGGTCAGGAATCAATTAATTAATAAATGTTTTTGTTCAATGAATATGAGTTCAAATTTCTTCCCTCAATGAACTTATAGTCTGGTAGGGAATATATGCCATGTAGTCATAAAAATATAACTGATGGTACATGATTAGTGACAAGTGCCGAGCCAGTGATTTACACTTTAACCGGTAAAAGAATCCAAAGGATTAATCATCATAGGGAGAAATAATGAGAAGGTTTTGAGTCTTGCTCTCCTCATTTTATTGTTATTAAAAATATTTTAACTGTTGAAGAGAGGTTAAGTTAAACCTTTGCTTGTTCTGACTTCCAGCCCAAATTCCTCCTTTTTTCTCAACAGTACGGTTTTTTCCTCACTCCACTTTTGGGGCCTCATCACCTCCATTAGTGGCAAGTTTCCCTGCTGTTGGTTTATCAACGTGCCCTAATCTAGTCTGGTAAAATAAAAGTTAGTTAAAAAAATTTTAGAGACACGGTTTTGCTCTGTTGCTTAGGCTGAAGTGCAGTGGTGCAATCACAGCTCACTGTAGCCTTCACCTCCTGGGTTCAAGAGATCCTCCTATCTCCACCTCCTGAGTAGCTAGGACTACGGGTACACACCACCATGTCTAGCTAATTTGTAAATTTTTTGTAGAGACAAGATCACACTGTGTTGCCCAGGCTGGTCTCGAACTCCTGGCCTCAAGTTATCCTCCTGCCTCTGCCTCCCAAAGTGTTGGGATTAAAGGCATTAGCCACCACCGTGGCCAAAAGTTAGTTTTGATACTCAGATTCTAGCTTGGCCTTTCTCCTTTAGCTAAGTTAAATAAGTGATCCTCTTTGCTTCTCTTCTCACAGATGGCCTGTGAGTATCTGTCTGTGGAAGTAATGGAGCGCTGGATTATCAGTAAGTTTAGTGGGATTAGGTGGGAATGGATGAAGCAGCATGCGACATGAAGAACAAGTCCTAAAAGTGTTCTGCACTGTTTTCCCATCTACAGTTGGGTTTCTTCTTTGTCATGGGTGCCTCAACTCCAATAGCCAGTGCCAGAAGCTGTGGAAGCTGTGTCTGCAGGGCTCCCTGTACATCACCCTCATCCGCGAGGATGTGCTGCAGGTGCACAAAGTCACAGAGGACCTGTTTAGCAGTTTGAAAGGGTGAGGAACATGAGAGTCAAACTGATCTTCCTTGAATATTTTTTAGCCCCTCCCAACATCCTTTTTCAGTCTCCATTAATGTTCCCAGATACAGGTGGTTAAAATTCATTCTAACTATTGAAGAGGTAGAGATTGACTACCTACTATTAGCTAAGTGCTTCACTGGGTTTTAGAGATACAATAATGAATAAGATAACACGGAGGTTAAGAGCATAGACTCTGAAACCAGACTGCTTGGGTCTACGTACTAGTTGTGTGGCCTTGGGCAAGTTGCTCAAATTTTCCATGCCATTGCCTCAATTTCCTTATCTCTAAACTGTGGATAATGGTAGTACCTCCGCATCACCTACCTCATAGGGTTGTTATGAAGAATGAAAGGGTTATTATTTGTAAGGAAGGTAGAAAAGTTCCTGGTGCATGGTAACTGCTATGTGCTTGTTAAAGAAAAAAAAAAAAGAGTTTCTGCTCTTGAGGAATTTATAAATTGGGGGAAATAGACAAATTGTTTGATAGAGCAAGAGATTATATGTGTAAACACAAAATACTGTGGACACATTTAGGACACTTAAACTGGCCTTGCAGCATCTGGAGAAACCTGGAGACAGGTAGATCTGAAGGGCTAAATACAGTGTGTGTGTGTGTGTGTGTGTGTGTGTGTGTGTGTGTGTGTGTGTGATTGTGTGTGCATATGTGCCTGTGCATTGGGTAGAAAGGTAGGGGAGTTGCTTGAGGCAAAGAAAGATTTTCTAGGCAGAGTAACTATCAAGACTTTTGAGGCAACGAAGAGCATAGCAAGTTCTGAGAAATTCATGTAGCTCAATGCATGGGCAGCTGGGTTATAAAAATGAAGATGTTGAGAGATGAATTTGGAGAGGTAAATTGGGATGTTGTATGCTTTGCCATGGAGTTCGAATCCATCCCAAAGAGGATGGGGAGCTGTTGAGTGATTTCAGACAGGGGAGTGACATGATCATATTCACATTTTAGAAAAGATCATTCTATCTGCATGAAAGAAAGGAAATTAGATGGGCAAAACTAGAGGAAGAGATTAATTAAGTAAATGAGGAGGAATTGAGGATGATATCGAGGTTTCTGGCATGGATATCTGGCATTCCTTAAGATAAGAGAACATGTGTTAAACACAAGTTTGTGGGGGAAAGATTGTGTATTTAGTTTCAAACAGTTCAACTTTGAAACATCTATGGAACACTGAAGATAGATGTGTTAGGCCTTCCACTTTATGGTTCTGGAAGTTGGAAGTGACGTCTGGAGTCAGATAAAGATTGGTGAATTGATAATAAAAGCCAGGAGAGTAGTTGAGATTACTCAGGAGCAAATGTGGAGTGAGAAAAGAATGGCATAAACTTCTGTGTACATTGGTATTTAAGGGCCAGAGAAATCAGTGGGAGATACTGAAAAGAAAAGGAAAAAGAGAAGCCAACAAAGAAAGCGTTCCTATAAGGAAGGACCAGTGACCTATGTTAGATGATGTTGAGAGATCAAATAAAATAAGAATTGAAAAAATGTTCATTGGATTTGGCTATAAAGTGGGTTTTAGTGCCCTTCTTGTGAACAACTTGAGTGGTGAAGTTGAAAGCTGGGTTGCAATGAGTTGAAGAGCAGACGAGAGATATGGAATTTAATAAACAACTCTTTTAAAGTTTGACTATAAAGGGAAGAATAGAGAGAACTAAAAATGAGAAGGAGAAATGGGATTAAGGAAAGGGTCAAAATATCTATATTATTTTTTTCTGGTTGCAAATAAAACATCCAGAAATATGAAAAATGCAAAGTGGAAGTTAGCTGTACTATCGCCTCCCAGAATAGTTTGATGTGCATCCTCCAGCTGTGTGTCTGTGTGTGTGTGTGTCTCTGTGTGTGGTGTGCAAACACATAAAGGTGGCATGCATTTTCAACCTTATGAAAGTAATTTTTAAAAGCAATGGATCCACATTCTGCATTATGTTTTATGGGTTGCTTAAAAAACTTACTATGTTTTGGATATCTTTGAATATTAGTCTATAGAGACTTACTATTATTATTTTTGAGATGGAGTTTTGCTCTTATTGCCCAGGCTGGAGTGCAATGGCGCAATCTCAGCTCACTGCAACCTCTGCCTCCCAGGTTCAAGTGATTCTCCTACCTCAGCCTCCTGAGTAGCTGGGATTACAGGCATATGCCACCACACCCGGCTAATTTTGTATTTTTAGTAGAGATGGGGTTTCTCCATGTTGGTCAGGCTCATCTTGAACTCCTGACCTTAGGTGATCCGCCTGCCTCTGCCTCCCAAAGTGCTGGGATTACAGGTGTGAGCTACTGCTCCCAGCCTTGAGACTTACTATTTTTGACAGTTGAATAATATTACATTATGTGGTTGTAACATAATTATTTACCCAATCCTCTATTGATGGATGAACTGTTTTCATTTTTTAAAGTCAATATAAACAATGCTATAATGAAGGTTCTTAGATACATATTTTTTGTGAATCTGTGAATATTTCTTTTCTTTTCTTTTCCTTTTTTGAGATGGAGTTTTGCTCTTGTTGCCCAGACTGGAGTGCAATGGTGTAATATCAGTTCATTGCAACCTCCACTTCCCGGGTTCAAGTGATTCTCCTGCCTCAGCCTCCCAAGTAGCTGGCATTACAGGCATGTGCCACCATGCCCAGGTAATTTTTTGTGTTTTAAGTGGGACAGAGTTTCACCATGTTGACCAGGCTGGTCTTGAACTCCTGACCTCAGGTGATTCACCCACCTCGGCCTCCCAAAGTGCTGGGATTACAAGCATGACCCACTGTGCTCAGCCTTGATGTGTGAATACTTCTATAGAGTAAATTCTTAGAAGTGAAATTGCTGAAGGGTATGCACATTTCAAATTTTAATAGCTCTAACCAATAACTGTTTACCGTCTAAACAGTTATTATCAAGAGTGTATGAGAATAGTGATTTCTCACACTCTCAACAACTGAGCATCATCATTAAAAAACATTGCCAGAGTTGGCTGGGCATGGTGGCTCATACCTGTAATCCCAGCACTTTGGGAGGCTGAGGCTGGTGGATCATGAGGTCAGGAGATCGAGACCATCCTGGCCAACGTGGTGAAACCCTATCTCTACTAAAATACAAAAAAATTAGCTGGGCGTGGTGGCATGTGCCTGTAGTCCCAGATAGTTGGGAGGCTGAGGCAGGGGAATCACTTGAACTGGGAGGCAGAGGTTGCAGTGAGCCGAGATCACACCACAGCACTCCAGCCTGGGCGACGGAGCAAGACTCCATCTCAAAACCAAAACCAAAACCAAAACCAAAAACAATCCCCCAACAAACAAACAAAATTGCCAGAGTTAAGAAAGAGTAAACCTAAGATTAATAATTAGAAGTTGCAGGAGGTGGATTTGGGCATATGTATGAGAAACTTTCTCATGATTACTGCTTCTAAGGAATGGAAGGGTTGTTTAAGGCTGTTCTGTTCTCCATCACTAAGAACTGCAACTAATTTGTGTGATTTATAGTTTAGGGAGTTCTTTGACATAAATGATCTAATTTAGCTTCGTGCTAATTCAAGAATAAGTATTAATATCTTTTTTAATAAATGATAAAATGGAGGCTCAATCTCAGTGTCACTCAGTTAATAAGAGGTGAAATTAGGACACAATTCCAGGTTTTTGGACTCTGAATCTTTTCTCTTTCCACTGTACTATGCAGAGATTGAAATAATTATCCAACAGGATTGCGGTGGAGTTGAATCCTGACTTAATTAAGATACTCTCCAACTCCAAACGTCTTTGATTTTGTGCTAGTTCAATAAAGGAGTGGCTTGGAGAAGGGAAATGAGCGGTGATGAAGCCCCATTAATGTGGTGGCAATAGTGACACAGGACAAGAGAAGACAGGAACATGGAGAGGAAAGAGTCGAAGATGGTGCTGGGATTCTGAGCATGGGTCACTAGGAGAAAAGAAGACATGTGGTTAGGAGAGTCAAATACTGCAGAAAATTAAAAGCAATGAAAAGTTCTTCTAATTTGGTGATTCAGAAGTTCACATTGACCTTAGAGATAGCAGTTTGCTTAGTGCTGAAGGCTGTGTGGGATTCAAAGGTCGGTGAGAGGTGAGGAAGTAAAGAGAGTTTAGGTGTCTCTTTGGAGAAGTTTGGTGGTATGGGAAAATAAGCAAAGTTCAGTGGATTGTCAGGGTCAAGCAAGGGTCTTCGTAGAATAAGGGAGGCTTTGAACTTATTTGTTGGGAGAGGAGTTTAAGCCAGTGGAGAAGGAGAGACGAAGTATCAAAAAGATAACCAACAAAGGGAAATTCTAAAAGGAAGTTGGTGGGAATGGGAGCCAAGGTAGAGCCTGAGTAACTACTTTTACTTGAGAGCAGACCTGTGTTATATTTAGACACTGCTCCGTTTATCCCCCTCAAACCTGGAAGAGTTCCTTGATTTGAAGGAGTCAAGGCAGGAGCGCAGGAAGAGAAGTCTAGCCCCAGCTTTGCCATTAAAGCCCCATGTGACCTTGACAAGGCATTTCCCTTCCTTGGGTATTATTTTCTGTATCTGTAACATTAGGAGTAGAGTTGACTAATCTCTAAGCTGTGAGTCTTTCATTAATAGGCCAGGGTGAGAAACAGGGTTTGAAAAGACCCTGCCTGTGAGCGCTGCCCATGTTCACATCAGGCTGTAGACTGGATGCTCGGGACTGGGAAGGTGAGGGTAGGGCCCTAATGGGTAGTATGGTCAACCCTACTGTGCTTGTGTCAATCCTCAGGTATGGCAAGCGAGTGGCAGACATAAAGGAGAGCAAGGAACATGTAATTGCAAACAGGTAAAGGGCGGTGAATGCAGTCTCTGAGAAGGGATGGAATAGGAATCTCTTCTCACTTTTGTTCTCACCTAAGCCATCCTTAGTTTCTGTACAGCTTTATTGCCTCAACCCAACTTGCTGCTGTCCCACCAATTCTTTTTTTTTTTTCTTTTTTTTTGGGACGGAGTTTCACTCTTGTTACCCAGGCTGGAGTGCAATGGCGCGATCTCGGCTCACCGCAACCTCCGCCTCTTGGGTTCAGGCAATTCTCCTGCCTCAGCCTCCTGAGTAGCTGGGATTACAGGCACACGCCACCATGCCCAGCTAATTTTTTGTATTTTTAGTAGAGATGGGGTTTCACCATGTTGACCAGGTTGGTCTCGATCTCTTGACCTCGTGATCCACCCGCCTCGGCCTCCCAAAGTGCTGGGATTATAGGCGTGAGCCACCGCGCCCAGCCCTTTTTTCTTTTCTTTTCCTTTCCCTCCCTCCCTCTCTCCCTTCCTTTCTTCCTCTCTCCCTTTCTCTCTTTCTCTTTCTTTCTTTCCTTTCTTTCTTTCGAGTCTCACTCTGTTGCCCAGGCTGGAGCACTGTGGTGCGATCTTGGCTACTGCAACCTCCACCTCCCAGGTTCAAGTGATTCTCATGCCTCAGCCTTCTGAGTAGCTGGGATTACAGGCACCTTTCACCATGCTTGGCTAATTTTTCTATTTTTACTAGAGATGGAGTTTTGCTATGTTGGCCAGGGTGGTCTCGAACTCTGGACCTCAGATGATCTGCCCGCCTCAGCCTCCCAAAGTGCTGGGATTGCCGGCACGAGCCACCACTCTCGGCCCTTTTTTCTTTTTAAACTAAGTCTAACTTGAACATTTAACCTTCCTTCTGCCTCATGCCCCTTCGTAAATATAGCTTTCTTCTGCGCTGTCTGTGGAGGGTTTTTAAGGGTGGGAGAGGTGATAGTTATGTTCCCCTTTTCTTCCTTAGTGGCCAGTTTCACTGTCAACGGCGGCAGTTTCTGCGGATGGCAGTGAAGGAGCTGGAGAGTGTGTTGGCTGATGAACCAGGACTACTGGGTCCCAAGGCAAGAAGAAGAAATGTTGGGAGGGGGATGATGGTCGGTGATAAGAGACTGGTAGCCACATGGCATTCATGAGATTTTACCTTTCTGAGTCTTTTGTGATCCATTTGTATGTATATATGCTGATTCCCTTGAATCTTCATGGAGTACCCCAAAACTTTTTATATCTCTTTTTTTTGGCACTATACAGAGTATGTCCTGTGCTATAGCTACTTGTATACTTGTCTTTTCCTCTATTTGAGAGTGAACTAATTGGAGACAGAACTTGTTTTTTTTTTTTTTTTAAACCACATAAATGCCCAGTAGATATTTTTAGAACTTAATTTGATATGGCGAGAAGGGTACTAATTGTGAGCTGGTGTCAACCGTGTACCTGTCTGATTCTGTGTCACATAGCTGAGGTTTTTTTTGGTGAGTCTGAATGTTTGTTACTGGACACTGTGGTGGCTGCACAATGACATCCATATGTATATTATCATGCTAGTTTTCTCTGTGCTTTGAGATCTGTTTCTAAAGTTGAAAATTCTAATAGTCTCTGTCCTCTCCGTAGGCTCTTTTTGCTTTCATGGCCCTGTCCTTCATTCGTGATGAGGTCACCTGGCTGGTTCGCCACACAGAGAATGTCACCAAGACAAAGACACCTGAGGACTACGCTGACTCGTTAGTACTTGACATGGCTGAGAACCTTGTCCTTAGATGGACTGTGGACAGGGAGGGCGCAGATAACCTCAGGAGGTCTCAGTTTCTGCCCTGTTCTCACTGTGTTGGTCTCAATTGATATTTCTAGTCTTATTCATCTCTGTTCTCTTCCTCAACTTTATAGGAGCATTGCAGAGCTACTTTTCTTGTTGGAGGAGATCAGGTCTCTGGTCCGAAGACACATCAAAGTGATACAGCAATACCACCTTCAGTACCTGGCAAGATTTGATGCTCTTGTGCTCAGTGACATCATTCAGGTATGATGTTTAATTGATTATACTTTGGAAATTCCAGGGTGATCCCTGCTGATTTTGCAACCACTCTGGCTGAATGTCATGCTCTGTTAGTTGGGTGTCAGAAAGTCCAATCTGCCCCTTTTTATTTGTTAAAAGAAAAAGAAAAGACTAAAAATCTCAGCAGTCTTTTTATTTTTCCTACTAACTGAAACCACGTAGAAATAGGAGAGAAAAATAAGGGGAAACTGGGTGTTAGAATGGCAGGGAACCCAGGAAGTTGCCTCCGTCTCTTGCTTGGCCTTTTCTCTCTGTTTTTGGCACTTAGCAATTCTTTCCACCTTCATCTGCTGACTCAGCGTCGTGGTCCTAGCTTCTGTCCTGGGGAAACTATGCCCACTTGATGGTAACTGCAGCTCCTCTTTCAGAACTTGTCTGTGTGTCCAGAGGAGGAGTCCATCATCATGTCCTCGTTCGTCAGTACCCTCTCCTCGCTGAATCTCAAACAAGGTGACTGGAGAGAGGTTTGGGGGCAGGGCGTATGTGAGGATGAACATCTTTTATCTGGAAATAGTGATCTTTGAGCCAGGGAGTAGGACAAGATGTCTTTGAAGAAGGTCTACCCGTTGGATATTGGTGTGCTGTTTATGGTTTCCTTTCATACTTGCTTCTGTTGTCTTGCAGTTGATAATGGAGAGAAGTTTGAATTCTCAGGATTGAGGCTGGACTGGTTCCGCCTACAGGTAATGATGGATTCCTGGTAATGATTCCCGTCCTCAGACTCTCCCTCCCCCACAATCCCTTCTCTTTTTATCTCCTAAATTTGCTTTGTGGAGCGAGTCAATTTTGAAAACTGCTGATTGGGCAAGACATGCCCAGGCCAAACGGTAATTCCAAGGCTGGGGGCCCTTTTCATTCATCTTGTTTTTCTCCACCCTTTCCCAACTCCAACCGCAGGCGTACACTAGCGTGGCTAAGGCCCCCCTGCACCTGCATGAGAACCCTGACTTAGCCAAGGTGATGAACCTCGTTGTCTTTCACTCCCGAATGCTGGACTCAGTAGAAAAACTGCTGGTGGAGACTTCTGATCTGTCTACTTTCTGGTATGTCTTGGTTCAGAGCTCTTTTTAAAAAGTTTTATTGTTTTCTGTTTTTTCTCCATTATGCCACTTACTTCAAGGATTTTTTTTTTTTTTTTTTTTTTTTTTTTAAGAGACAGGTATCACTATGTTGCCCAGGCTGGTCTTGAACTCCTGGCCTCAAGCAATCCTCCCATCTCAGCCTCTTGAGTAGCTGGGGTTATAGGCGAGAGCCACCAAACTCTGAACTAGAGCTCTTTATCAATTCACTTGCTCTCTTGCCTGGCCTCTGTGGAGGCCTGTAATTCTCCTAGATAATCGGAAAGTGTTATTTTCTTTGGGATCCCCTTAAGATGCTCAAACTCCACAGCTCACTTGTGTCGGCTTTTTGCCAGTAATTCTAAGTGATAGGAATTTAAAGTTGATTCCCTTTCGTTCTGTATTCCTGTTTGTTCTTTTATGGAAAACTATTCAGGTTTTATACAGCAGCCTTCTCTTCCCTAGGTTAATTAACCCGTACGTCTAGTTTCAATCTCCTTTCTTTGGAAATGTCTTCAGTTTTTTTTTGTTTTGTTTTTTTGTTTTTAACTCTAGGAATATTGTGATTTAAAAGAGACATGAAAAACTGTGCTTTAGTGGACAGAAGTGAAAATAATTGAGAGGGCTAGAGAATAGGCCCACAGTGAAACACTGAATATCCCATAAAAACTAGAAACAAGCTATCTGTGAAAATGTTTTATGATGTGTGGATTCGTCTCACAGAGTTAAACCTTTATTTGGATTCAGCAGGTTGGAAACACTCTTTTTATAGAATTTATGAAGGGACCATCATAGGAACGGACAATGTGGAGAATGAGCATTAGTTTGTCTTCCTTAGACAGCACCTGACGTTTTTAGGTGACCCCTGTTGTCCGTAACTCCACCCTTTGAAGGATCAAACAAACAAGTGAAAACACAGTGTGTTGTCTCTGCTTTCTGCAATATAGGTGGGGAGATATAATACCCATATGGGAAAGGGACATCAACATAATACTTGCAAATGTGAGAAAGTGTAAAAGAGTACATGAAGTTGCGAGGATGTGGGTTAAGGAAAGATCCGTCTGAGGGGATTAATTTGAGAAGATTTTCTGGAGCCTGAGTGTTAAATTTTGGGAGGAATGTGAATTAACTGAAGGACTTCTAAATTAGGGGAAATGGCCCAAATCATGCCAAGGTTCTAAGGGAGAAATAGTACATTTTGTACAGGAAAGGGAAGAAGAATATCATTAAACTTGCCCGGGGTCCTTTATAAAAGCCTGGAAGGGTTAAGTTTCTCGGGTTCCCTTCTATCTTAAGGGACCAACGGTTATACTCTCTTTCTTTTTCTTTTCTTTTCACTCACCACTTTACTCACAAGGACTAAACTCTGATTTAAAGTTTCCTTCCCATTTCTCTGCAGCTTTCATCTCCGTATCTTTGAGAAGATGTTTGCTGTGACCTTGGAGGAACCTACCATGTTGCGTTACGCCATTGCTTTCCCCCTGATTTGTGCTCACTTTGTCCACTGCACCCATGAGATGTGCCCAGAGGAGGTAGGCATCCTGAACGCCAGACCCCGCCATCTTTCTAGCCACATCTCATCTTTGTCACGCAAAGCACAATTCCAAGGATTGATTTTGGTCCCAGAAAGGGTATAAACATAATGTATGATACGGGTCCCTAAATATCTCAGCTCGATGTCGAATGTATCCTCTCTCGGGGCCTCAGTTTCTTCTTCTGTAGGAATGGGTAGGAATCTTCCGTAAGCTTCAGGCCAGGGATGAGGGCAGTGTTGTGAGGAAGAAGTGGCCGTCCTGGTGATGGCAATCTCTTCTTTGGTCCCTCTTTCCCATAGTACACCCACCTGAAGAACCACGGTCTTCACCACTGCAACTCCTTCCTGGAAGAGTTGGCCAAGCAGACCAGCAACTGCGTCCTGGAGATCTGTGCTGAGCAGCGAAACCTAAGCGAGCAGGTAGGCAGCCCTCTCTGTTTCACTCTCCCCTCTGCCAGCCCTCAGTGCCTTCCCTTCTATCTAATTTTATTTCCCTCTCAGAGGCCAAGCTCCGTAGCTCCTTCTCACAAGTAGGGCTAGGGCCTTTGTGTACTTGAGTTTATGGCAGAATTCTTTGCTTAGTTGAGTCCCTTCAGTCTTTACTCCCTTAGGACTGGATAGAGGTGTCTAAAAATACTCGTCTTTGAACAGCTGCACTCCAACAAAATCTGTGCTCTCACTTGAAGGGTTCTGAGAGATGAGTTCACTTTCTAATTTACTTCTCCTCCTGTCTTTGCCCTGTGTTCGTATACTAAGGACAGTGGCCCCCAGGTCACCTGTCTTGTCTCATCTTTCTGTCTGTATCCTAATCTGTGACTATCTAAACATTTTGGGGCATCTTTTCTGTGTTTAGCCTCAAGGTTGCTTTCTTGCCTTCTTCTTTTTACTTTTCCCCTCTCCTCCCTTGACTGACTTTTAGCACCTCATCATAATTAGTTCAACCTAAATTTCAGAAAATTTGAAAATGAGAAACTTGTTTTGCTGTTGCCCTGGAGTCTTTCGGGTTTCCCAGACTACCCACCTTTCCTGGGTTTGAGTCAGGCCTGGTAAAGGGGAGTGTGTGTGTGTGTGTGTGTGTGTGTGTGTACAGATGCACAGTTACATTATTACTTAACCTTTTTATTTTTCGTATGCAAATGGCACACAAGTGGGGATAAAAATCCTTTCTTCATAGAAGTGTCGTAAGGATTAAATAGAGTACATTTGATATTTGATATATAGCACTTCAGAAATGTTACCTGTTATATTTGTTGTTACTTACTGGTCACAAAGCCCTGTGCTGGGTTTTTGGTTGGGACCCGGAAGGAAGGCACACAATTCCTGCCCTTGGGTAATGTCCCAGTTTAATAGAGAAAGGAATATACCCATATTTAAGAGAAATTTAAATAATTAATGCAAGAAAGATATGCAAATGAGTACAATTGCAGGTATATTCATCACTCAGTATGCTTCATCTTAGCTAAAAGGCTGAGAAATCCAAGAAGAGATCATCAGTCAATATGAGTAACTGCTGCATGCAAGAACACTGCTGCAGACATTTGCTCAGTGCCGTCTCAGGGATGACTAAAACATGATGTGAATAATTTTCACACATACTAGAACTTTTGCGACTAAATGAGTATTGGCCTTCTAAAGTTAACATTCTGAGTAAATAATTAGTGTTGCTGCCATTACAAATGGAATTATGTATTTTGGAACTGCTTTCAGAATCTGCTACAGACGCATAATCTTTTGCATAATCTCAGGGTTGACACATTCGTTTCCATCGAGGTGGACTTGATTTTTTTTGAAACAGCCAAGAGTTTGGATTTAAAAAAAGAAGGTGTGACTATAAAGTAACAAAACTGTTTTTTTGTGTGTGGCTTTTATGCTGCTCTCAGAATAATTTCAACTGAGGAGTTTCCAGACATGGCCTGCTCATGCTCAGCAGCTCTGGAGTAAATGGAAAGAATTCCAGTTACCTTGAAGGAGGGGGCTGACCGGGATGCTAGGTTGATGTTTAAGCTAATTAGCAAGAAATATGATATTTTAGAAAAGTGGGAAGACAGTGCTGGCAACACTGTGAACTCCAAATCTTTGGAGGACTGTGGTGGTGTGGGTAATTGTCTCATCAGATAGAATAGGAAAGGATGTAGCACGTGAGACGATTGTTCCATCTAGAAAAAAAGTAACTGTTTTCCTATCTTGGAAGACCCTACAAAGCACAATTGAATGGGACTTTCAGATCTTATTCTTTTTTTTTTTTTTTTTTTTTGAGACGGAGTTTCACTCTTGTTACCCAGGCTGGAGTGCAACAGCGCGATCTCGCAACCTCCACCTCCTGGGTTCAAGCAGTTCTCCTGCCTCAGCCTCCTGAGTAGCTGGGATTACAGGCACGTGCCACCATGCCCAGCTAATTTTTTGTATTTTTAGTAGAGACGGGGTTTCACCATGTTGACCAGGATGGTCTCAATCTCTCGACCTCGTGATCCACCCGCCTCGGCCTCCCAAAGTGCTGGGATTACAGGCTTGAGCCACCGCACCCGGCCTAGATCTTATTCTTTATACCTGAGTTTTTCCATGAAGAAAGGCTCTCTCAGGACGTGGGCATGGGAGTGCGGCTCTGATCTCCGAAAGACACTGCTGTCTTGAGACTTTGAGCCTATACATGCAGAGATATTTTTGAAAACTGAAAGAGGTGAGCACATTCTGAATAGGACCCCGTTAGAGAAAGAGATGCGTGGAAGGAAAGAGAGAGGAAGGCAGAAAGATAAAATAACAGATCACAATGTACAACAACCTTTTTGTGACTGTCCGATGCCGTTTTAGCAACAAAGCTCATTTCTCCGTTTACCCGTGTTTATTTCTGAAGCTTCTACCTAAGCACTGTGCCACAACAATTAGCAAGGCCAAGAACAAGAAAACTATGAAGCAGAGGCAGACTCCCAGAAAAGGAGAGCCTGAGAGGGACAAGCCAGGAGCGGAGAGTCACCGGAAGAACCGTAGCATTGTCACCAAGTGAGGATCTGTCTGGGCCCCCGATGGCCAACTGGGTACTGCACCAAAGAAGGCAGGAAAGGAAAGAGGGAGGGCGACACAGGAAAAACAAGCGCACAAGTCGTGGTGGGGAATGAGGGGTACGGAAAAGCACTTCGATGTGAATTTTCTTTTTTTTTTTTTTTGAGACGGAGTTTCGCTCTTGTTACCCAGGCTGGAGTGCAATGGCGCGATCTCGGCTCACCGCAACCTCCGCCTCCTGGGTTCAGGCAATTCTCCTGCCTCAGCCTCCTGACTAGCTGGGACTACAGGCGTGCGCCACCATGCCCAGCTAATTTTTTGTATTTTTAGTAGAGACGGGGTTTCACCATGTTGACCAGGATGGTTTCGATCTCTTGACCTCGTGATCCACCTGCCTCGGCCTCCCAAAGTGCTGGGATTACAAGGCTTGAGCCACCGCGCCCGGCCCGATGTGAATTTTCTACTTTGCCTTTGAAGTCTGCGTCAGCATATACTCTTCTAGGTTGACTATACCTAGAAGACGGGTCATGGGCCCAACACATCCTTCCTAGACATTAGCAGACAGTGCCAGATCTGTAATCCGGGCTCATTTTACTTTCTAGCATGGACAAGCTACACCTAAACTTGACAGAATTGGCACTGACAATGAATCACGTATTCAGTTTCTCTGTGTTTGGACATACCATCTTCCCTTCTGAGTACCTCAGCAGCCACCTGGAGGCTAGACTCAACAGGTATCACTCTTTCCTTGTCCTCTGTTTGGATGGCAGTCCTCAGACCATAACATGTACCTCTGTGTATCGTATGGTAGTCCTCAAAGTTGGGTCCAGTTACATTCGTCCTGGTGGTCATGCCACAGTGGAGATTCCGATGCAGTCAGTCTAGCACAGGTCCCAAGCATCTCTGTTAAAAGCAAACAGAGGCCGGGTGCGGTGGCTCAAGCCTGTAATCCCAGCACTTTGGGAGGCCGAGGCGGGTGGATCACGAGGTCGAGAGATCGAGACCATCCTGGTCAACATAGTGAAACCCCGTCTCTACTAAAAATACAAAAAACTAGCTGGGCGTGGTGGCGCGTGCCTGTAATCCCAGCTACTTAGGAGGCTGAGGCAGGAGAATTGCCTGAGCCCAGGAGGCGGAGGTTGCGGTGAGCCGAGATCGCGCCATTGCACTCCAGCCTGGGTAACAAGAGCGAAACTCCGTCTCAAAAAAAAAAAAAAAAAAAAAAGCAAATAGAAGGAATCCCAAACCTCTCTAGGTGGTTTGGATGAACACCTAAAATTGAAACCACTGGTTTAGCAGAATGAGCAGGGCCTTTGCCGTGAGCAGACCTGTGTTGACAACCTGGTCCTTATCTAAGAGAGCAGATCATTCAACTTACTTGAGCCAGTTTCCTTCCTTGTAAAGTAAGAATAATGGCATTTACCTTACTTATGGATAGTTGGGAATTACTCATAATTGAGAATTGGTAGAGAAGTAGTAATGAGTGCAAAGCTCCTGACATATATTAGGCTTTAATAAAATACATCCCTTTCCTCCTACTTTGCCTCTCTCTCCATTGCTCTGTAAAGTAGGAGGCACACCCCTTACACTGCCATTGGACATTACAGTCAGCAAGTAGGCGAACGGGAGGAAGAATTATGAATAATCCTCAACTCCTCTGTATTTTGTTTGGGAGTATGTAGCCTATTCATTCATTCAACAAATATTTATTGAACACCTGCTGTGTGTCAGGAGTATTCTAAAAACTGTTTACACAGTAATATATGAAACAAATAAAAACATCTGCCTCCATGCTTACTTCTAGCGGGGAAGATAGATAAACAAAATAAGAAGGTAGAACACTGTAGTAGATTCGATAGTGATAAGGGCTAAGCAGAAAAAGAAAGCGGGAAAGGGAGACAGGAAGTCTGTGTGCTGGGAGTCGGGGGGTGGGGGGAGCGGTGGCGGAAGTGGGTGTTGCAGTTTTAGATACCGTGGCCAAGAAAGGCCTCCTTGACAAAGTAACATTTGAGTAAACCGGCGAGGAAACTGAGAAAGCCAGGCATGTGACTGTTGGGAAAGAGCATTCCAGGCAGAGGAAGCAGCAAGTGTGAAGGCTCTGAGGTTCGAACGTGCCTTCTAGGTTCAAGGAACACAGAGGAAGACAGTGGCTGCGGCCCGATGAGCCTGGGAGAGACTGGGAGGATGTGAGGTTAGGGAGGTCAGAAAAGTGGCAGATGCTGCATGTGCTTATATGTCATTGTAAAAACTTTGGCTTTTATTTTGAGTGAGATGAGAGATGGGGAGCCTTGGTAGGTTTTGTGCAAAGGTGTAACAATTAGACTTGACCCAACATTGTACTCTGGCTACTTCAGTGGGGACAAGGACAGAAGCAGGGAAACCAGTTCTGAGTCTATGTTTTGATTATAGGAGAGACAAATTTATTTTTCAGCTAGGTTTTTGCTCAGGTGAAATTAGTCTGTTTTCATTACGTATACATGAACTATATGGAAGAAAGTGTCTCAGTTGCATACATGATGTCAGGAAGAATGACAGTGTGATGATGGCCTATGTGCAAGCCTTCAGACACTGCTGGTGGGTTCCAGGCCCTGAAGCAGCATGAGTGTGATATTCAAGTTTTACCCGAATCATCTCTGATACTTGCTTCACTGACGTCATTGCTCCCAAAGACCTAAAGTTGGCCTAGAGATTTGGCCACTGTGTTAACTCTAAATTAGATTAGTCTTGCCCTTAGTCTGTCCCTTCTGTATTATTTTCCCTCAAGTGGTACTTGAGAGTCCTTTTTTCTTTCATCTGTGAAGCAGACCGGTTCCCTCTTACCCATTCTTTCCCCTGCCATAAGCATTTTGCCAAAAACACAAAACAAACAAAAAACTCAAACATCTGTGGCTTTAGGAAGACTGGGATCAACTCATTCAGACTGAGGTGCAAATAACTGACAAAGTCTATCTCTTTCCTCTGTGGTTTACATTTTAACAAGGAAAAAAGTCCTTAGAAGACTAACTCTAATTGTGAAATCTCAGATACCTGGGGAAGGTATTTTGAAAGGGGTCGGGGGTCCAGTGGTGAGGGATCTTACTGATGTGTCCCTACAATAATATAGTGTGGACAGTTCTTCTACTCTTTCTTTTTTAAAATTAAATTAAATTAAATTAAATTAATTTTATTTTAATTTTTTATTTTTTTTTTTTAGAGACAGGATTTCACTATGTTGGCCAGGATGGTCTTGTTCTCTTGACCTTGTGATCCACCTGCGTCGGCCTCCCAAAGTGCTGGGATTACAGGCATGAGCCACCACGCCCGGCCTATTCTACCCTTTCTGAAGTTGGCTATAGCTGCATGCTAGCCACGCACAATCTCCATTCAGCCCTGGCACACTGTGGTTACTTAGGATTATACTATACTTCCAAGGATTCCTTCCTTCCTTCTCTCTCTCTCTTTCTCTCTTTCTCTTTCCTTCTTTCTTTCTGAAGTCTCACTCTGTCACCCAGGCTGGAGTGCAGTGGCATGCTCTCAGATCACTGCAAGCTCCACTTCCAGGTTCAAGTGATTCTCCTGCCTCAGCCTCCTGAGTAACTGGGACTACAGGTGCCTGCCACCATGCCCAGCTGAATTTTTGTATTTTTAGTAGAGACGGGGTTTCACCACATTGGCCAGGCTGGTCTTGAACTCCTAATCTTGTGATACGTCCAACTTGGCCTCTTAAGGTCCTGGAATCACAAGCATGAGCCACTGAGCCCAGCCACTTGCAAGGATTTCTAAGTGTGGTTTTTCATTTCTGACAGTGATTGGAACTAATTTTTTTTCAAGGAGAAAAGATAAATACTGGCACTGAGAATGCAAAGGGTATGAACTCTCAGGTAGAGTTAAGTGGAATTAGAGAGCCCAGATCTTCTACTACCTGACCTAATTTCTCCAGAGGAGGAAGAAAAGCTTAGTAATTAGGGATCAAATGCTATTGGAATCAATTCCCAGCACTGCCATCTCCAGCTGTGTCTTCATTGTGGTCTTCTAATGATTTATTATTTCTGTGTCTCAGTTTCCTCATCTATAAAAATGAGGATAATAACTGTCCCTAGCTTATTAGGTTGCTATGAGGTTTAAATGAAATTATATGTGTAGTAAAATCCTAGCACAGTACCTGGAACACAATATACACTCAATAGTTGTTACCGTATTTATCATTATGATTGTAATTCAAATTTTTTAAATCACCTAGAGCCATTGTGTGGCTGGCTGGCTACAATGCCACCACCCAGGAGATTGTACGCCCTTCTGAGCTGTTGGCAGGAGTGAAAGCATACATTGGTTTCATACAGTCACTGGCCCAGTTTTTGGGCGCAGATGCTTCCAGAGTCATCCGCAACGCCCTTCTGCAGCAGACACAACCGCTGGATTCCTGTGGGGAACAGACGATCACCACTCTCTACACAAACTGGTCAGTGTTGCTTATGCTTTCCCACCACCTGACTTTGTGTTGGCACTTTCCCCTTTACACAGTAGGATCTCAGGGCCCAAGTATTTTAGCTCCCAGGGTCACAGACCCGCGCAGTGGAGGGTTGGTGCTTCTTGAGGAATGGAGCAATAATCTGGGACAAACCCAGATCCCCTGCTGTCCACCACGAAGTTTCCTTCTCACCTTCACTGGATCATCCTTTGGCCTGCCCTGCAGTTATTTTACCTTTTTCCTCCAATATCCAGTTCTTAACCTTTCTTTTTTGGTTTCTTACTGTTTCAATTTCAAATGGTCTCTCTTCCTCGTTCCAAAGTTCTCTTATTTATCTTTTTGCCCTCACTTCTCCTTTTGAAAACCATTCTGCCTACTACCATCTCTCTGGAACGTCTCCTCATCCTCCTAATAGAGAAGGGGGCCTTCTTCCCCAAACTGAAGAAGATGGGAATCAGCGCTGTTTCCTTTGAAATGCTAAGGAATGGAAAGGATCTGGAGTCCTACCTCCCCAAGCCACTGGGTGGCGCTCTTAATCCAAAATCAGCTCCGTAGGAACCGGGCTACAAGGAAGAACCCCCCAGAGCAGGGGAAACAAAGTTTGCAAACACAAATGCCAACTGGGGATGGGCAGGAAAGGTAAATGGATGCACCACGTGGGGCAGACAGAGACTTTGAGGAGTTGGAGAGGGAATACCCCTCTAAAGGGAACAGCCACCACTTAGCTCCACCTGATTGCTGCCCTACTAAATTCTTATTTTTTATTTAAAAATCTGTTTCAAAATTTTGACAAAGAATTTTCCGTAGGCTCCAGAGAAGACAGTTCAGCCCCTTTCCCCCTGTGAGTCAATTCAGCATAAATTCAAAGGAAAAGAAAAGGCCAGGAGCAGTGGCTCACACCTATAATCCCAGCACTTTGGGAGGCCGAGGTGGGCAGATCACGAGGTCAGGAGTTCAAGACCAGCCTGGCCAATATGGTGAAACCCTGTCTCTACTAAAAATACAAAAATTAGCCGGGCGTCGTGGCACATGCCTGTAATCCCAGCTACTTGGGAGGCTGAGGCAGGAGACTCACTTGAACCCAGGAGGCAGAGGTTGTAGTGAGCTGAGATCATACCACTGCACTCCAGCCTGAGTGACAGAGTGAGACTCCATCTCAAAAAAAAAAAAAAAAAATCCGACTGGGTTTGACTCATGGTTAGCTTGTAATGTCTATTAGATACAGACCCAGAGCAAGGACCTGGGAGAGGTGGGTTGGTCAAGCTCTCCTCTACCCACATTGGCTAGAGCCCAGCTCCTTTAAGTTTGCCCAGAGGTCAGGAGGAAATATTTGGAGACTAATGACCTGTGTTCACAGGATATCTCTTTGCGCAGGAGGTTTGAGAGTATATTTCAAAGGAGCCTAATTAGGTAGTGACTTTCTTTCTTGCCAGGTTGAGCCTGTCTTACCTGCTGAAGGGTAAGGGTGAGGGAATACAACTGTTGGAAAAGAGCAGTGGCGGAGGGCGGGGAGTGCATGCTATTGCATTTGACAGTGTAGCAAAATACCCTGCAGGTTAGAGGCGACGTGGAATTACAGTCCTGCCAGTTGTTTTTGATCCAACAGCTTGGGGTGTTGATTGGAACATGGTATATCTTCTTTGAGCTTCTTCTCCCTACCCGTCTTTCACAGAGTTTTTCTTTGTGAGCTCAGCGGTAGTAGTAGGGGGTGGTGGGAGGGAGAAGGGATTGGACCCTAATCTGTGCTTTCTTGGCCAACCCTGTAGGTACCTGGAAAGTCTGCTCAGACAGGCAAGCAGTGGGACCATCGTCCTCTCCCCCGCCATGCAGGCCTTCTTCAGCCTGCCCAGAGAAGGGGAGCAGAACTTCAGTGCAGAGGAGTTCTCTGACATTCTCTGGTGAGCCCAGGGCCTGGTCTTCTTGTCAAGGAGCTGAGCCCTTCCTTCAATGCACAGAGAATAAAAAACTAGGACATATATTTAGGTTGGTGCAAAAGTAACTGCAGGTTTTGCAATGAAAAGTAATTGCAGGCCGGGCACGGTGGCTCAAGCCTGTAATCCCAGCACTTTGGGAGGCCGAGGCGGGTGGATCACGAGGTCAAGAGATCGAGACCATCCTGGTCAACATGGTGAAACCCCGTCTCTATTAAAAATACAAAAAAGTAGTTGGGCGTGGTGGCACGTGCCTGTAATCTGAGCTACTCAGGAGGCTGAGGCAGGAGAATTGCCTGAACCCAGGAGGCGGAGGTTGCGGTGAGCCGAGATCGCGCCATTGCACTCCAGCCTGGGTAACAAGAGCAAAACTCCGTCTCAAAAAAAAAAAAAGAAAAAAAGAAAAAAAAAGAAAAGTAATTGCAAAAACTGGAATTACTTTTGCACCAAACTAATAGCAAAGGGTAAGGGATAAAGTGTAAGGAGGACATTCCCCTGTTTGGAATTATTAAACAGTGGTCTGCTGTCATGGTATCTTCTTCTTTAAGGATACATTTTAGAGTCTTAGCCAGTGTTTGGATTGCTGATGTTTAATAATAGTGATGATGAGACGATACATGGCATTTACTGTGGGCTAAGTTCTAAGTGTTTATACATATTAACTCACTTAATCCTCACAACTGCTTTGAGGTATGATAGATACACTCATTCCCATTTTTCAGATGAGGGCACTGGAACACAGAGAGTTTAAGGAACTCGCCTAAGGCCACACATTCATAAATGGTAGCACTGGGAGTTCAACTCCAGGCAGTCAAACTCCAGGACCTATTCAGTGCTGCCTTCCAGTGTCTAGAAGGGGGAGGCAGGTAAGGAATGTGTAGTGAATGAGTTGGGAAACCTTTCCTTTTCAAAAGAGGGTTTGAAACCATACAGATCCTTTTTAATAGATATGTTTTTACCAACTAATTCATGAACAATCCTACTTCTCTCTCCTTCCTCTCACCTCCATATCAATCAGGGATGCTGCATAGTATTTGGGACAGGTAGAAGATGTTCCAGTGACCCTGTCCTCGCCAGTCCTCCTCTTTGGGGGTGCTAAGAAAGCCAGAGCACACAGTTCTGTTTTCCAGTTCTGCCTTCTTAGCATCATCCTGCCTCCATCAGCAGGCTGACCCTACGCTTTACCTGCTGCAGGTTTCAGATGTCCCCTTCTCATCAACTCTACCCACAAACTGTAGGCAGCCTCTAAAATCAGCTTTAGGTCTTGCTGACAAATGACAAGCAGCAGGAGGTGATGCTGATTCCCCTTCTACCACCCCCACCCCAATTTCCCTGGGTTGCCATAGTGATGGGGCAATGCTACTACAAAAATAGATAGATGGAAAGAGAAGGATGCCCTAGGGTTGCTAGCTGGGGGTAGAGAAGACTGGAGTAAGGAGCTTTGGCAGATCCAAACTGGTAGATCAGTGTTTCTCCTGTCCATCAGCTCCAGAGAGGGTGATTCGGCTCCTCTTCCTCTCTGTCAGCCATTGTGGCATTATCCAAGTTGATAGGTTAGGAAATACTTCCATAGCTCTCAGCTCAGTTCTTTCTATTAAAACAGGTTGACTCAGGCTGGGGGTGGTGGCTCACGCATGTAATCGCAGCACTTTGGGAGGCCAAAGCAGGTGGATCATGGGGTCAAAGGATTGAGACCATCCTGGCCAACATGGCGAAACCCCGTCTCTACTAAAAACACAAAAAATTAGCTGGGCGTGGTGGCGCGCACCTGTAGTCCCAGCTACTTGGGAGGCTGAGGCAGCAGAATTGCTTGAACCCAGCAGGTAGAAGTTGCAGTGAGCCGAGATTGTGCCATTGCGCTCCACCCTGGCGACAGAGCAGGACTTTGTCTCAAAAAAACACAACAACAACAAAACCAAAACGAAATAAAAAACAGGTTGACTCTAAAAATGTTTAATATCTACCGTGGACAAGGCTCTGTGTCAGTGGCTGTGACCAGTTCCACTTCCGCTGTCATTGATGGAGGTGGAGATCACTGGTCCTGCCTTCAAAGACTCGAGTGTGGAGCCTTGACTTCCTTTCTCTCTGAATTCTTATTGGCAGTATTAAACTTGCCTTTCTTTACTGGTCTCTTGTTGTTGTTAATTCTGGTCTTTCATGGTTTTCCCTGCTGGGATGGCCCATAGTCAGAGATCATAGCTAGAGCTTCTTCCTGTCTAGATTTGTCACTAGTGTTTACAACATGGGATTTCCCCAGGCAGGTTTTATTTAACTCACAAAGGGCTAGAGCAGGCTAGGTGGCAAGGGATAAAGCATTGGGACTGACTAGCAAAAAGAAGGATTTAGAGGAATAAAGAACTGAGACTCTAGGGGAATGTGTGTTGATTATGAAAAAAGAAAAGGTAGCTCAAGGGGAGGAAAATGTGGACAGTGAGACACTAAGTAAGGGAAGTAAAGGGAAAAACATACAAAAAAAGTCAGACCTTAGATGAGGAACTAGTTTTATCTGCTGAGATGCAGTAAGGGGCAGTTAGATATTGCACCGGGCTTCCAGTACCAGCCCCTGATGTGATTAAGTGGCTTGGACGAATACTTAACCCCCTTGTCTGTAAAACCATGGTGACTGTTCCTATGAAACGTATTTCAGAGGGCTCATAACATCATCATAATAAGCCCTTATCCATATATATCTTTCTAATTTTCCAAAGTTTTTGTAATGTATCTTATTTGCTCTCACATCAATTCTGTGAGTGTTCATGGCAGATATTCATGTCTTCGTTTTACAGAGAAGTAAACTCAGGCTCAGAGAGGTTCAGTGACTTAAGGTCTTACACCTGATAAAATTAGTGTAGCTAGTACAGTAAGAATAAAACCCAAGTATCATGTAAAGGAACATGGGAAGTGTAGATCTTACAGGAAAGTAAGGTCATGAGTTATCATTCGTGGTAAGTCTTGGCGTGAGTACCAGTGGAGAGGGGGCAAATGTCCCATGGGCTGACCAGACTTGCCACTTGAATGTAGGATTTTAGGTCACTTTTGCTCCTTCTCATTTTTTTTTTCCTTGCTGGAAAACATTTAAAATGTTCAAATGACCCTACAGCTGTTGTGCGAATACTCTAGTGCCTTCTGAGTCCCATGTGGGGCTTCTGTAACTCTGTTCCAGAGATGCGGGCCTTGGCCGAACTCCTGGGCCCCTACGGCATGAAATTCCTGAGTGAAAACCTGATGTGGCACGTGACCTCTCAGATCGTGGAGCTGAAGGTACTGTGGCAACAAGCCCCTGGGAAAAAGGTCCTGCCTTAGGGGAAGAGGATGGGTATGGAAGACTTGGGGGGAAGATGTAGCATTGGTCTCTTCTTTTCCTGCTTAATGTCTCTGTGTTCCTGGGCTGCAGAAACTGGTGGTGGAAAACATGGACATACTCGTTCAGATCAGATCCAACTTTAGCAAGCCAGAGTTGATGGCTTCTCTGCTGCCCCAGCTGACAGGTAAGCATCCTCTTCCCTTGCAGTGAGAAGGTACTATGGAATCACATTGCAGATGATGGGGATTTTCAGGAATCTGGAGGCTAAGTTGGGTCTTTGGAATCAAAACCATCACTCATCTCCTAAATTCTCTTTTCTAACACCCTTCTTTCTCCTCAGGGGCTGAAAATGTGCTAAAGCGCATGACCATCATTGGGGTTATTCTCAGTTTTAGGGCCATGGCCCAAGAGGGACTTCGGGAGGTAAGTTGGTGGGGAGGGGCCTGTCACAGAGCCACAGATACCTGTGACTCTGGGTTTGTATGAAAAGTTGTGGAAGGGGTTGGTTGGGCATTGAGAAGAGGGAGCGTAATTTGGCAGAGATGCTGGAAGGACCTTAGGAATAAATGGGCTTAGGAAACCTGGAGGTATAAGGAGAGGGATAGCTTGGAAAGCTGGCTAGGTTCATCAGCTCTATCTACGTCGAGTGATCCCCCCTTTTATTTCCCCCTATTTTTGAAGGCACTGGTCATAGTCTTGTGGACTCATTTATCTTCTCTTTCCTCTAGGTTTTCTCCTCCCACTGCCCGTTTCTTATGGGTCCCATTGAGTGCTTGAAGGAATTTGTCACTCCAGACACAGACATCAAGGTATGGGGGAGCACAAAGTAGAATCTAATTGGGAGCCTTTTGTGGTTGAAAAGGAGGTAGCTAGGATCTTGTAAGGGAGAGCAGGTTCTGAAGAATACCATAGGGATAAGGGCGAGGGTTTGAATGGGAAAACTGGTCAGATGAATATTCTCGGAAAGAAAGAGCAGAGCTGGTGAGATGTGGGGGGATGGAGAGAAGCGGGAGGCTGGGAGACACTGTGGGGTTGGGGAGACATTACCGGAGGAGGAGGGATAAGACTTAGGATAGTATCTGTAGGTTTTCACCGGACATCAGCACTGTGCACATTAGATAAATGATGTGCAAACAAGTCCACTCTTTAGTCTTGAGGTTAGGTACTGTAGGAAGATTTGTTCCTTTCATTTCATCCACCTGCCTACCCTCAGTCTTTTCTTTTCTTAACCTTTTCTTCCTTCCATCCTTAAGCTTTCTGGTTCCTCTATGTCTCAGCCCCCCATTTACTACAGGAGATGGAGAGAGGAAGAAGGGCTTCTGCAGACAATATAAGTTAAACCATTTTCCATCCATCTTCCACCCTTGAGTCATCTTGTCTTTTGAATCATTTGGAACTAAGAAGTATGCTATGTGGGAAATACAGCTAAAGCCTAGGAATAGATCCTTCAAATGCACAGGGCAGGCGCCTTCTCTTATAATTGATTCTTTTAATGGAGAGTGGTCTGTGATAAGAGGAAACCGGTTAGCAGGAAGAATTAAAGTTGTATGTTAAGAAAAACTTCCTTACTTGGAGATCAAAAGACTTGTGAAACTTCCCCTTCTATCTGCCTAAAATCATGAGGGTCAAGTGACTGTGGGAACAATGAGGGGCAGTGTTTCACTGGGATAGCTGCCCATCTTGAAAAATCTTTGATTTCAAGTTGAGCCTGGGTTTCTGGCAGCTGCTGATGTTGGTCCAAATTCTCTAGGCTATCAGGAGCTTGTCTAGCTGATAATCTCCTGGGTAGCTCCAATCTTTAGGCACTGCCTGTCTGTGAAAATAAGCAGGTAGGGGCAGAGAGGGAGGATGGCATGTCCATCAGAGATGCTGCTACTGCCTCAGAGGAGCTAGAATATTAGAAGAAGAAAAAATAAAATCTCTTCAGCCCTCCCTTTCTTCCTCTAGAAAACCTCATGGACCAGGTTCCTATCTCCTAGGTGATGGTTCCACAAATGGGTCATTTAGGTAGTAGGGGACTTAAATAAGGGCAGAGCAGAAGGTGGCAAAGATTTGGCTTCTGTATCAGTACTACAGGCAAAGTGTGTGTACGTTGTTATGTCTGTGGGATTCTTTTTTTTTTTTTTTTTTTTTTTTTTTTTCCTTGAGGCAGAGTCTCACTATGTCTCCCAGGCTGGAGTGCAATGGTGCGATCTCAGCTCGCTGCAACCTCTGTCTCCTGGGTTCAGGCAATTCTCATGCATCAGCCTCCTGAGGAGCTGGAACTATAGGTGCATGCCACCACCCCTGGCTAATCTTTGTTAAGACGGGGTTTCACCATGTTGGCCAGGCTTGTCTCCAACTCCTGTCCCCAAGTCATCCGCCCACCTTGGCCTCCCAAAGTGCTGGGATTCGGGTATGAGCCATCACTCTGGCCAATCTGTGGGATTACTTGCATAAGATACTTAGTTGTCCAGTATTATAACAATTATCCTTGTTCTTTCAAAAAGCTTTCTTCTTCTTTTTTTTTAATCTAAAGTGGGGTCTAGGTACTTAGTATGAGAGTGGGGTCTTAGGGCTATGTCCTGGGAACCTGATTATAGGTACGATGACAGAGTCGGGTATCAATCAATCAATATTTATTGAATGCCTTCTATGTGCTCAGCATTATGTTAAACACTAGAGACGATGAAGAGAAATGCAAAACTCCTGGCTTTAAGACAAAGGGAGAGGATGGAAAGGCATCACATTTTCTCTATTAGTCACTAGGGTTGATCACATGTGTGGTCTAATTTAATCTTCACAACATCTATATGAGGTAAATGCTATTATGCCAGTTTTATAGATGGGAAAATGAGGGATCAAAGACGTTAAGTAACTTTCAGCCAAGGTCACACACTTAAAAAGTGGTGTTGCTAGGACTTGAACCCAGATCTATCTTACTTCAAAGCTTTTTTCTCCCTTCACTATGCCATGAGGTTTTAAAAAGCTATCCATTTCGTGAGATGAGCAGATGAGTCTCGCATTCTGTCTAAAAAGATAACTAACACCAGATGCTGTGTGTGATCAACACTGTCAGCAGTACCAACATGAGGAGGGAAAGCTGGGTGTGGGTTGAAGTAATCAGGTAGGGCTTCACAGAGATGAGATCTAAGGGATGGGTGTGACATAGATATAAATAAAAAGGAGAAAAGGACCCTCAAAAGGGGGAAGGACCTGAACTAGAGTATGGGAGAGGAAGTTGTAGTACGGGGACAGTGAATACATTATCCTGGCAGCACCGAAAGAAGGAAGTATTTAGGAAAATGAAGCTGAAAAAGTAAATTTATATGATGGAGTGTCCTAAAGGGTTTTTTTCCCTGTAGGATAGGGAGAGCTGTGAAGGGACTATGTAGAAAAGACGATAATAAACCAGAAGTTTAAAATCTGTGATTAGCTGGGCACGGTGGCTCATGCCTGTAATCCCAGCACTTTGGGAGGCTGAGGTAGGAGGATTTCTTGAGCCGGGGAGTTTGAGACCAGCCTGGACATAATAGTGAGAGTCTCTCTCGATAAAAGCGTCTTAAAAAAAAAAATCAAATCTGTGATCCAGGAGTCCTGGATCTGCATTCCTTCTGTCAAGCCCTCTTCCTGTGAATCCTCCCTAGAATGCTGCTTTCTTCTCTCCAGGTGACCCTGAGTATCTTTGAGCTGGCATCTGCTGCAGGGGTGGGCTGTGACATTGACCCAGCCTTGGTGGCTGCCATTGCTAATCTGAAAGCTGGTAAGATTGCGGAAATGGAGCAAGATTTCGGAAAGGAGGGCTTGGGTCTTATTTCGGGTGGAAGAATGTCAATGTCAAAGAAGCCTTTATCTGAGATTATGGATTCAGAGGAGATAAGCTGGGAGCAAAGGAAGGACCCTAACTTCCAGAAAATACTTACATGGGCAATGTAGATTTATCCTCAGGTTCCAGCTAGCGGATCTGCCAATCAGCTAAAAAGCACTAAGTGAGAGTCTATTTGATACTCAGCAAGTGCTCACAGGCATTTACAGTCTGGTTGGGAAAATAAGATTAACGCAAATGAAACAGTGAAAGAGCAATACGAAATAGTGAGTTGTGTGATATAGCACCGCAGTTCCCCATGGTGATTTTGTGCTTTCTCCCTCCACCTAATCACCTTGACACTGTTTATTTCTTCCCATCTCACATTTGACTCTTATATTTTCCATTACACGTTTCCTCTGATTACATTCATACTTACACATACTCAGAACAGAATGAACCAAGGGGCTAGGATTAAGTCCTTTCAGAATGGCCAGACTTACAGAATGACCAGACTTACGCCTCTTCTTCTGTCGTGGTGGGTGAGAATCTTTTCTCTTCTTCCTGCCTCTCCACCCCATCAGGCAGCAGACAGGCATCCTGGGGTTGCACCATGTGTCAGCAGAGCCCGTGGCTGAAAGCCTGCCCTGTCACCAGGGAGGCCTCCAGGACTCAGGCCTCTCACTATAGGTGGATGCTAGTCCTGTTTCTTCAGGAAAATTAAGTAGCAACTCACCCATAAGGATTTGTAAAGTGATTTCATAGTTATTTTCTCATTTGATCCTCACCATTCTGTGAAGTAGGACCCCCGTAACAGTTAGTTCCTGTTTGCTGACCTTACTCACTTTTCCTCTTTTCCTTTTTCCCTCTCACCAGATACTTCATCTCCTGAGGAAGAATATAAAGTGGCCTGCCTGCTCTTGATCTTTCTGGCGGTTTCCCTCCCACTCCTTGCCACTGATCCTTCTTCCTTTTATAGTATTGAGAAGGATGGTAAGTAAGGGATAGGTGTGAGAGACCAGTGCTATTCAAGTTAGTGTCTTGGGGTAGAGACTGGAGATACTGGAATATATAGACTTCTGATTCAGGTATAAAGTTCTATTTCAAAAAGCACTTGAAGGCTGGGCATGGTGGCTCACGCCTGTAATCCTAGCACTCTGGGAGGCCAAGGTGAGGTGGGCAGATCACTTCCATGAGTTCAAGACTAGCCTAGGCAATGCGGTGAAACCCTGTCTCTACAAAAAATAAACTAGCCAGGCATGGTGGCCTGTATGTAGTCCCAGCTACTTGGCAGGCTGAGATGGGAGGATGGCTTGAGCCCAAGAGGTCAAGGCTGCTGTGAGTTGATTGTGCCACTGCACTCCAGCATGGTGACAGAGCAAGAACTTGTTAAAAAAAAAAAAAAAGAAGAAAACACCCCCTACCTGAACACACACACACACGCGCACACACACACACACACACACACACCCCTGAGAATGAACTATGCATAACATTCGATTTCAATAAGATTTCATAGGAATATCCCGCCTCTAATCCCAAAATGCCTTCTCATCCTTTTAGTGTCAAATACTGGTTGCTCAGCCTGAAAACGTGAAAACTTACCAGTTTGGGTCATCCTGGAGTGGCTTACTTTGTCATTTCCTTTGTTTCTCTCCACCTATATCAATAACAACCTAGGTTACAACAACAATATTCATTGCTTGACCAAAGCCGTCATCCAGGTGTCTGCTGCCCTCTTCACGCTCTACAACAAGAACATTGAAACTCACCTCAAGGAATTTCTGGTGGTGAGTGGGTCTTGGTTATAAACACTGGAAGATTGCAAAGGGCTAGAATTGGTTTGACTTAACTCTGTAGATAATTATTGTTGAACAGGCTTTTGAGTCTAACTTCTCACCTAATTCATTCAGTAAAGAGTGAGAAGCTACTATATGAAAGGCAAGAGTTTCTTCTAAATTTCCTAACAGCTGGTGTTTCAGCCTCTGCTTGAATATTTGGAAAGATCATCAGACAAAGAGTCAGAAAATCTGAATTCTAGTTTTGGATCTGCCTTTAAGTAGTCGTGTGACCTCTGAAGTACCAAGCTTTTGGGGCCTCAGTTTTCTCATATATAAAACAGGGAGATTAAACTGAATCCATGAATTCAGATTAAACCGAATCCATGCACCTTGGTGTGCTTCAGAATATCCTGGGGTGCTTGTTAAAATACTGACTCCTGATCTTTACATCAGACCTACTGGGTTAGAATATTGTAGGGTGAGTCTAGGCCTCTGTTTTTAAGGCCTCTGGGAGAGAAGATGCTCATTAAAGTTGTAGAGACACTGAGTTTTATCATCTCTAAGGCCCTTTCTAACTCTGTGTGGACTAGTCAATGACTACTTCTCAAACTTTAAAGTAAATCAGAATCACCTGGAGAATTTCTAACTTAGTAGATTAAGGTGGGGCTGAATATGTGCATTTCTGTTCCCAGGTCATCTTGACGGTGCTTGTCTTGGGATCTCACTAGAACCAATAGTCGAGATTTCTAGGGACTGGAACTTACAAGTAGGCAGCAGATTCCGCTGTAGGTCACGTCCAATTTCTTTGAAAAACATTGCCAAAAATTTTAGCCCACATTTGACTCCCTGTAACTCTCACCATGGATCTTAGTTTTGCCTCTGGGAAAACTCAGAAGAAATAGAATAGGCCCCAGAAATTTCCATTCTAAATCCTCCATGGTGGTATTTTGTTCATATACTTCTGATCCATGGTTCATTCCCCTCTGCCTGCTCGAGGCTTCTCAGTAACCGAGAGCTTATATCTTTGCAAAGTATGGCCCTGATGTAAGAACCAGGGCCTCATCTGTCTCCTTCCAGGAGGAAACACAGCGGATCACATTGTTCTCTCAGAAATTATACCCTCATCCTGAGAAGTACATGTCATGGATCATAAGCTTTGTTGGAGTTTCTCTGTTTAAGCTGAGGCACCCAACCAGATAGACCTGGCTCTGAGCATCTTAAATGCAAAGAGGATTCACACCAGATCTGTAAGAAGGGGTGAGAAGGGAATCTCCCCACCCTTGCTTTCCCTTTTATCCTCTTTGTTTGCTACATGCAGGTCACCTGGGCCTGGAATACAATGAATCATATTTCTTCTTTTTTGATCTGTGGGGCATTGGGGGTGATGGAGTTGACAGCCATTTGGGAGTTGACTGGAAAATACCAAGAGCACTGCGTCTGAATCACAGGCCCAGCTCTGCCTCTAGTCAGATGGGGAGTCAGCTGTAAACAGCCTGATGACAGTGGTGTCTGGAGGCTGCCTGGGAAAAGAGAGGTTCATCTCCTGGCATCCATCACCTGCCTTTGCTCTAGGTTGTTTCCCTGCCCCTTGCAATCTCTCCCCCAGCCCTCCCTGGCAACCTGTTGTCTGCACCGGGAGTTCAATGAGATCCAGGCTAGCTTACAGGCAGCGTGTTTCTCTGACACGTAGGAGATTTGCCACTTTCCACCCTGAGTCTTCAGGAACGTTCTAGCACTTCTTAACTCTCCTCCTTGATCTTTTCTTAACTTCCTGCAGCCTGAGGCTGTCCTATTCTGACCTCTATAAAAATCTGCTTTACAAATTCTTCCCTTACAGGTGGCCTCTGTCAGCCTCTTGCAGCTGGGCCAGGAGACGGACAAGCTTAAAACCAGAAATCGAGAATCCATTTCTCTGCTCATGCGCTTGGTATGTATCTTGTTTAAGTTAGTCTGAGAACAGGGAGCAGAAGGGCCAGAGGGAGACTCCTCTTTAGGGTCTTTGCATCCTTGTTGTTGTCCTCACCCAAAAGCATCTGGTTAGCATTCTAAACTTGTCTCTAATCCCAGAGTAGAGTCTTCAAGGACTTCTGCAAGGCAGGGCCTTCCTGGCCCCGAAGCTGGCTGGGCACATGTCCTGCCATGTTCTGAGGCTGACCTGGTTGGGCAGCTGTGCCCCTTATTGGTAATTACCTGTCCAGTACATGTTTGGTTTCACTTGACAGTTTCCTACCACTGTATTTCTTGTCTTTAAGAGTCCTATGAAAAGAGCGCTGGATAACACAGAGCCGAACTTAGAGGTTGAGGGGTGGGGGCTCAGAGGAAGGAAAGGATTTTAGCTAAAAAGCTGTAAGGCAGGGAGCCTGGTGGGCCATGAATCGGGCAGCTCCTGCTGTCTCTTCTCCTTGCTTGCCAAGCTGTGGGCTTCTCTCTACTCTGGCAGAACGTTTTGGGAACTCTGACTCAGTTAACTTTGAAAGTTTTTTTCCTCGTGACCCTGTTTCCCTCTTCAACACTCTTACTCACTCTTTTGCTCTGATTCTCCAGGTTAGTAACGCACTTAGATATGGACAGGAAGGGCTCCTCCCCTGGGTCCAGAGTTTAAAAGGACCTCCTTGGGCCTTCCTTTAGTAGAGTGTTCTGGGGACCTCCTCTGGACAATGGGAACAGGGAGAGCCCATGCCCTACCTTGAGGCCCACATCAGAGATATCTGGGGCCCCAGAATAATTTGCTAAGCAGCTTTAGCCCACTCGTAGGGCCTGTGTTAAACTTCTTTGTACTGAGGTGGACCCTCTGCTGGTGGACATACTTCTAGTGCCCAGGGGACGTATGGCTGGAGTCTAGCTATGCAGATAGGGAAGTGTACGTGTGCACACGAAATCCCTCTAACTGAGGGTGGGAGGAGCAGGGGGACTGGGCTGGAAGCGGGTTTCTTCCCTTTACCTTGTTCTGGTGCAGAACTTGGAGGAGTCCAGAAATTTTTAATTCAAACCTGAGCTTCCAGAGCACTACAAAGGTACATTGTGAAGGTTGAAAGATAGAATATACTAGTTTGTTAGCTTGATTTCATTAGTCATGTGGTATGTGGACCTCCATTTATATTCTTGTCCCAGACCCAGAAATGCTGGGGGCGAGGGATTCCTGGAACTCCCTCCAGGTCTCCTTCTTGAAATACACAGGCACTGAGTGGTAGTTATGCCTTAGTTTCTCCAGCTAGAAAAAGGCCTAGGCTGGGCTGGTTAAGGGTTGTGATAGAGAGGAGAATGGGCATGGAGGTGGATATATTTGTGTGGGATGTGTGTGGTGAGGCAAGAGGGCAGAGGCTGTGGATGAGGGCAGAGGGAGGGCAGATGCCAGTGGTGGGCTATGTGGGGCACAGTACATAGGGCAGCAACATGGCCTTGGCAAGGCAATGAACCCTTCTGAGACTTTGGCTCTCTGTCCATAAAAGTGGGTAATAATCCTTATGGTAGAGTGGTTAGAATTCATGAGTTATTATGTGTGAAAGTGACTAGCACAGAGTAGATACCCAGTGAATGTTAGTTCCTGCTCTCTGCTGTTCATTTTAGGTTCTGGATGATTTTGACATGACTTCATTTCCTTAGGTAGTTTTCACCCATCAGGTTGGAGGTGATTCTGTATTACCGGCCCCCCGCCCCAACCCCACCCCAGGCTTTCCTCCTTCTATTTAGACCCCTTCCAACACCCCAAAATGTGGAAAGTGTTTGCCCCTTGTGGCCTTCCAATGAGGCCAACAGAGTGACAGGAACAGAGCTAGGATCAGGCACTTTTTGTTGGAGGGGAAACTAGAAGGACTCGATGCTGCAAAGCAATTTAACTGCAAATGTTTCCACAGAGAAACTAGAAATGACTGAAGGTGGAGGAGCTGTATTCTGAGTTAACAGGCTACTCTTGTAGCCTCAAATTCTGGTCAGCACTTCGGTCCCTGGGGTCTTTCTGTTTTGGCTGTCAAGTCTGGGCCATGCCCACCCCTCAGTGTTGCCAGTCTGTTCCTGGCACAGGATTCCTGGGGAAAGACATGGCTCTTACAGAATCATGGAATCTTAGATGCCAGAAGCAGACCAGATCCTGGCAACTAGTCCAGTGCTTACAAGTCATAGATGAGGAAACTGAGGAATAGGGAGGGAAATCAAGGTCTCCCATAAATATATGGAGATTTGGGATGAGAACCCAAGTTTCTTGGCCGTCACTCCAGGGCTGTTTGCACTCCCGTGAACTTCTGCCATTTGAGAGCCCTGTTATTTTCTCGTACTTCATGGAGAATAGATAAGTCTTGGGCCAGTGGATTCTCTTGAAGCCATTATTCATTTCCCTGTACCTGAAGGTAGCATCTTGGAGAAGACAGCTCATCTCTTTCCTGGCTTAGGGTTTGAAAGTCTTGCCTAGCAAGAATTGTTTTGTTATTTAGCCTGTGATCAGGGCTCCGGTTTGCCGGCAGATTTCCCTTCCTTCAGCCTGCAGTTTCTGCTCGTTTGCAGCTGTTGCATGTGCATGTGTTTGAGGATAGGAAGATCTTACACATTTTAAAACTTGAAAGGACTACAGAGAGAGAGACATGTTAGAGTAGATATGGTAGATTCTCTTTCCTTAGTGAATTTTCAGGACTTGGAGTACCAGATATATTGTGGAGAACCCATCTGTGTGAATTGCCAGAGGATATGGGACACCTCTCCAGAGTGCGTTTTTTAGTCTCATTACCTCTTGGATAAGAAAAGCACTGAAGGAAATACACCCTGCTCCTTCCTCAGGGATGGGGACCCTCCAGTCCAGCACTAGGCTAATGCTGCTCTTCACGAACATGCCCTGTCCACCCCCCTCCCCCTCTTCACCCTCACCCCCACTCTCATTCTTATCCAGGCATCTTGATCTGTCTTCCTGCTTGGCTGTGGGGGCTGCTGGGATTACCACAGCATGCAGCCTTCTAATTAAACTAATTAATCATGCCTGCTCCTTTATGCAGCATCCTTACTGTTCCCCAAGCACTGTACTGAGAGAGGGAGGAGACTGAGGCCCCACACAAGAGGACCCCTGCGAATTCCAGGCCCCTCTTCTTGGCCTGTGGCGGTGTGTGTTTCTCTCGCTGCAAAGCATTGTAATCAGCGCTTTCATACGTCTTTACCTGCATCTGTGTGCTGCCCACCCACATGTGATTTAGCATCCTGAATGGGAGAGAATGGGGTTTACTGCCACTAGGGAAGAGGTTCTCCTCTGCCTTCTGCTTCTGGACCCTTCACATAGTCCTGATGAGGGGGTCAGGGTCCATTATAATGGAGCTGAAGATGCCACCTTGCCTTATTGGAGCCAAACCAGGTGAGGGAGGAAGAGGGGGGTGTGATTTGGAACCCTGGTCACTTGTAACTCTCAGGGCCTCAGAGGGCCTGGGAATAATGCAAAAAGGAACAGCGTATCAGAGACAAATGCTCTACTTAAGATTCTCATCTCTTGGCCCTATCTCTTCCAGGTGGTGGAGGAGTCATCTTTTCTTACCCTGGACATGCTGGAGTCCTGCTTCCCTTATGTCCTGCTTCGAAATGCCTATCGGGAGGTGTCCCGGGCCTTCCACCTAAACCGAGTGCCTGCCAGTACCCACTGAAGAGCCCTTGGGACCTTCCTCATCCCTTGCCATAGTGGAAACTGTGGTCACTTTCTCAAGGGGTGGGGTCACTAAGGAGAGGGTCAGGAGCCAGAGCTGATGAACAGATCTGTGGAAGAATAATCCAGGGCTAAGAAATCATAGAGCAGTGAGGCAGGCCAGAGGCATGGAGGATAGTTTATGGAAGAAGTTAGGGTCTGGGGCCACATGTGTGAATTTTGCAATGAAAAAGGAGTAATGTACAAGTATGTTTTCTATCTTCTGGTGACTTGAGCTTGAGCTCCGACAGGCATGGGCCTCTCCGACCTTCATCACTATTCTTAGGTTAATGCTGGCGGGCAGAGATGATCAATCATCATATTAAACCATAATGAGCTTATAATCCTCCCACTGGAGCTGCTATTGTCTCCTGCACATTCATTAGGACCATTATCTTCTCTCTTCCTTTTTCAAATGTGTTCACCAAACATTCAGCCTGCTTCTACTGCAGAGTACCAGTGAAGGAGCCCCTCTTTTCCTTTGTGGGGCTCTTCGAGGAGTCATTGGGTCTCTTCCTTTGCCCCCAGCTTGACTGCATTTCCACAGGGGCAAGGCGGACATGCCCTTCAGAGATTTTCCCTGCCTACCTGCTCTTCCACATTGCGTGTACCGAGCTCTCTCCTGCTTGAACCCCTCCTGCTTTGATATCTCCATAACCCACAGCAGAAGGTCAGTTAGTCTAGGCCAATTCTAGGTCACATGACAGCTTGTTGGACCAAACTCAGGTGGGTTTTCCCTCCCATACCATTTGGGGGTACTCTGTCTTCTATTGGGAGGACTCGTTTAACCCCAAATCGTCTTGTCAGCCTGGGTACAGCTAGTTACTCCAGGCAGGGATTTCTCTTCCAGATCTTAAATTTCACAGACCTCATTAGGTTGTACGGCCCTGAGAGTGGGTATCCTTGAGGGAGCACAAGCTGTTTCAACTTAGCCCTTTTCTGCGCTAATTAGAATTTCAAGTGTCACAGAGCCTGAGGCATTCAAGATAGCACTGAACTAGGTTTAGTTAACTCCTTGGCGGGAAATAGTGCCTCCCATGCATCACTCTGTGTACCCAGTGCCAGGGGGAACTGAAGAAATAGATCATATATGTCACAGGTCTAGAGTGGTTAGAATTGACAAATATAATTAGCTAGTTGATTAATTAGGGTCATGTCCATACTTTCATGATGAAAGGAATGCAACTGTTGGTGTTCAGCAAAAATCATTCAGCCTTCATTAAACCTATTTGATAGCTGTTTTGGGGTCTTGCATGTGTGTTTGCTTTTTATTTCTGGAGACCCAGGCTTAGTCAATACTTTCTTAACTTGGCACCCATAATCAACATACAAACTTTTCTTAGCAACAGTTGTCTGCTCTTTAGGATGGAAGCGATAGAGAATCCCGCTTCATGCATCAGCTAATCCTCATTCCTTGCTATGGGAAGAATCTTATATTCTAAGGAATGATTCAGTGTCAGGCTTATGAGACTGATGAGTAAAGTTGATGAGGAAGAGAAGGCTCAGAAGTACCTGAACAACTATTCTACATGCTTATATTTTTCTGCTTGAGGGGATAGAGACCCCTCCTCCATCTGCATGTAGAACTGGAGCCTCTCAGAGGACAGCAAGACAAGTTGCTGCAGGGGGATGCAGGGTAGACAGAATGCCTTTTTTTTTAATTAAAAATTTTATTGAGGCTGGGCGCGGTGGCTCAAGCCTGTAATCCCAGCACTTTGGGAGGCCGAGGCGGGTGGATCACAAGGTCAAGAGATCGAGATCATCCTGGTCAACATAGTGAAACCCCATCTCTACTAAAAATACAAAAAATTAGCTGGGCATGGTTGTGCGTGCCTGTAATCCCAGCTACTCAGGAGGCTGAGACAGGAGAATTGCCTGAACCCAGGAGGCGGAGGTTGCGGTGAGCCGAGATCAGCGCCATTGTACTCCAGCCTGGGTAACAAGAGCAAAACTCCAGCTTAAAAAAAAAAAAAAAAAAAATTATTGAGATAGTAATCCATCTTCACTTGTAAGAAATAATACAGATAGGGCTGGATGAGGTGGCTCATGCCTGCAATCCCATCACTTTGTGAGGCTGAGGTGGGTGGATCATGAGGTCAAGAGATCGAGACCCTCATGGCCAACATGGTGAAACCTGTCTCTGCTAAAAAGTACAAAAATTAGCTGGGTGTGGTGGCACACACTTGTAGTCCCAGCTCCTCGGGAGGCTGAGGCAGGAGAATTGCCTGGACTCGGGAGGTGGAGGTTGCAATGAGCCTAGATTGTACCACTGCACTCCAGCCTGGTGATAGAGGGAGACTCCATCTCAAAAAAAAAAAAAAAAAAAAAAAAAAAAAAAAAAAAAGAATACAGTATAGAGAAATTCTGTATACCTTTACACAGTTTCCCTGAATGGTAACATCTAGCAAAATTATGTAGTACTCTGCCACAACCAGGATAACGGACATTAATATAATCTACTGATCTTGTTCAGATTTCCTTCCCCAGTTTTACTTAGGTTCATTTCTCTCTCTCTCTCTCTCTCTCTCTCTCTCTCTCTCTCTCTCTCTCTCTCTGTGTGTGTATCTGTTTCTATACAGCTTTATCACATGTAGATTTGTGCATCTGTCACTACCGTCAAGATACAGAACAGGCTGGGTATGGTGGCTCATGCCTGTATTCCCAGCACTTTGGGGGCCCAAGGCACGTGGATCAACTGAGGTCAGGAGTTCCAGACCAGCCTGGCCAATACAGTGAAACACTGTCTCTACTAAAAATACAAAAATTAGCTGGGCGTGGTGGCAGGTGCCTGTAGTCCCAGCTACTCAGGAGGCTGAGGCAGGACCATTGCTTGAACCTGGGAGGCAGAGGTTGCATTGAGCCGAGATTGCACCACTGCACTCCTGCCTGGGCAACAGAGAGAGACTCTGTCTCAAAAATTAACAACAACAACAAAAAGATACAGAACAGTTCCATCACCACAGGGATCCCTCATAGTGCTCTTTTACAACCATGCCCGCTTCCCCTCCTGAAACCCCCTTCCCTATCCCTAGCCCCTGGTAACACAGATACATTCTCTATTTCTAAAATTTTGTCATTTGATGTATCTTTTCATAAACATATAATTATACATACATGTTTCTCTACCACTTATACTTTTTCAAAGTGCTTTTGCTTCCTTATGGCAATTCTGCAAAGTAGCCAGGAAAGGCTTTCCTATTTCAGGTCAGAAAACAGATTTAGAAACATTAGGCCGGGCGCGGTGGCTCAAGCCTATAATCCCAGCACTTTGGAAGGCCGAGGCGGGTGGATCACGAGGTCGAGAGATCGAGACCATTCTGGTCAACATGGTAAAACCCCGTCTCTACTAAAAATACAAAAAATTAGCAGGGCATGGTGGCTCATGCCTGAAATCCCAGCTACTCAGGAGGCTGAGGCAGGAGAATTGCCTGAACCTGGGAGGCGGAGGTTGCGGTGAGCCGAGATCGCGCCCTTGCACTCCAGCCTGGGTAACAAGAGCGAAACTCCGTCTCAAAAAAAAAAAAAAAAAAAAAAAAAAAAAAGAAATATTAAATGACTTAAGGAAGGTCACATGTTTAGCAGTAGAACTAGAACTGGGACCCAAGTCTGATGTTCAGTCCCAGACCTTTTCTACCTACCTGGTCTGACTCTTCACAAGGGAAGGCTTGGGTTTCAGAATCCAGAGACCTCAGAAGGAGCAAACTAGAGAAGGTGAGGACATGATGGCCTTTACCACCTGAAGCAAAAAGTGAATGTCTAAGGGTGAACAGCATTTCAGGCAATTTGCTTCCTTTACCAGGAGGGTCTCGTGTCCTCTTACAACCTGGGACACAATAAATGGTGAAATGCACTGACACGGTTGGGGGAAGAGTGTTCTTCCAGTCCTCCTCCCCACAGGGCCTCCTGCTTCCCCTAAGTACCTGTCATCAAAGGAGATGAGGATGAATCCTCCTTCAGCCCCCACACCTCAATGAGTTGTCAATAAGTTGTGTTCCAGGTTGTAAGTTTGCTTTACTTAGGCCCAAAGGCAATAAAGAACGGATGTCAGAAAGTCTTACCCCAGTTGTTTTGTCTTACAGGCACAGAGCAGCTTCTAGCCTCAGCATTTTCATTAATGCAGTGTTTTCATTAAAATCTCCATTAACTTGTTTGCAGCAGTGAGGTGGAATTACCCCTCCCGCAAGGCCTGGGGCAAGATACTCGAAGAGGTGCTCCGTTTTGTTTGGACAGTAGAAACACTGCCTCCCCTGCCGTGGTGTTCAGTCAAATTGGCAGGTGGGCCAACTTCAAAGTGCAGAAGAGGCTGCGAGCCAGCCGTGTGGCTCACCCCTGTAATCTCAGCACTTTGGGAGGCAGGCGGATCGCTCGAACTCAGAAGTTTGAGACCAGCCTGGGCAATAAGATGCAACCCCATCTCTGAAAAAAAAAAAAAAAATACAGAATATTAGCTGGGTGTGGTGCCTGCTGCCTGTAAACTCAGCACTTTGGGAGACGGAGGCCAGTAGGTCCCTTGAGCTCAGGTGTTTGAGACCAGCCTGGACAACAGGGCAAAACTCCATCTCTACAAAAAAACACAAAAATTAGCTGGGCAGAGTGGCTCTTGCCTGTAGTCCCAGCTACTTGGAAGGCTGAGATGGGATGATTGCTTGCACCCAGGAGGCAGAGGTTGCAGTGAGCCAAGATGGTGCCATTGCACTCCAGTCTGGGTGACAGAGCGAGACCCTGTCTCCAAAAGAAATGGGCAGACGGTCCAGGGCCTGGCCAACAGGATGTTGCCCTGTACTCTTTGCTTTGCATGAAGGGAACAACTGTGGTGTAAGCACCAGGATCCAGGAGGGAAGGAGGTCCAAGCTAGGGACAAGGCTTCCTTAACCTAAGGTCCTCATGCGTATATCAGTTCTTCTCCAACAAAGTTTGACTTTGAGAAGAAGCTGGCACATGGCTGAAATGCACTCACGCGGTTGGGGGAAGAGTGTTCTTCCAGTCCTCCTCCCCACAGGGCCTCCTGCTTCTCCTAAGTACCTGTCATCAAAGGAGATGAAGCTGAATCCCCCTTCAGCCCCCACACCTCAATGAGTTGTCAAGTACTCTCCCTCCCACTTGAATAGGAAGCAGGAGCAGCGGGCCAGGTTGCAGGTTGAGGAAGTCAGAAGTTAACTTGAGCTGAGTTTGCAGCTCTGGAGAGATTGAGGAGCAGACTTTTCTCTTGTCACTTTGGAAGGAGAGGATTGTGAGGCTGCCCCTTTAAATAGCATTCTCGTAGGAGGCAGATCACATCCATCCGTCACCTGCTGCCAAAGCATCATTTTTGGTCTCTATCAAACTCAAAGCTTGTTGGAAAGAATTGTGGGGTTAGGGGAGTGAGGAGGCAGAGCCTTCTAGGGGTAGGGGGCAGTTTAGAAGCTGAAAAGAGGAATGAGAAGGAGCCTGGGAAAGGTGGGGGTTGGGGACAAGAGGAAAAGACAGGGAGAGAATAGTTGTCTTTTGAGCCTCTGAATGGAACAAGTATACCCTATTCTTATCTCTTTAAAGATGCAGCAAGGTAGAAATGGGATTGTATTGCAACAAGAGGAATGAGGTTGAGACTAAACACCAGGACTGGTGACTAAAGAAAGTGAAAGAGAGCCACAGAGTGGAAAAGGCTGGTAGACTTGGCTCTGGTTTTATCACTTACTCTCCGTGGGACTGTGTAATTTTTCTGGGTTAGTTTAGTTAGTTCTCATTTATTTTTATTGGTACGTTTTTCATCACACTGTGTTGTCTATGGAGTTTTCCCATTAAGTAAAGGGGATTAGAGTAGATGAACTCTAATGTATCTTTCATGAATAACTTCTTTCTTTCTCTCTCTCTCTCTCTCTTTTTTTTTTTTTTTTTTTGTGTGTGTGTGTGTGTGTGTGAATTACCCTTAAAATGAGTCAGGAGCAGGGGGTCTTGGGAGATCAGCATGTGCCACTGTGTTAACAAGAAATGTTGAGAGATCCCTCTGGATATACCTCTTGCCTCTTCCCTACCTATTCTAGTTTAAAGACCTGCCTAAATTTGGAAACTCCTTAGCTCTAATCCTAATTTACTAATTAGAACTCTTTAGCGAAATCCTAATTTGCAATTCTTTCCTAGTTTCCAGCCCATTTCATTTTCAGTTGATAAGGAGGAGATTGCTCCCAAATTTTCAGAAACGGACTGTGTAGGAGTGTGACTAGGGTCGCAGAGGCAGCCATTTCTTGGCTGGGTCTGTTCTTTTACTTATGTTCATTTTTCTGTGTGTGTGCAAGAAAGGAAAAGGGGGTGTGTGCTAAAGGTAGATGGACAGAGGGTGGGAAGTCCCATTATTCTTTCCACTTCTTTCTCCATCTCTGACTCTGCCGTCTCTTTCTGCCTCTGTATTTTCTGGGAGCTGGTTCTGCTGATAATTTTGCTGGACCTAAATGCAGACCTAACCTGGCGATTCTTTCATGTTAGGAGTCTTAGCTGCGACAGTCCATCCTTTTCGCCACCTTTCCATTTCACTTGTTTTCTCCTCCTTCGACTGGGAATGGGGAGCCTCCACTCAGTATTTACAACAGAGTTAAATACCTTCTCCGGATCACTCCTCCTTCCAACCTCCAGAATTTTTTGAAATTAAAATTCACATTCTGGGATCCTGGATTAGTGGCCTGTTTTGGATTCAGCAGTTAGTGATATGTCTCCTCTTTCTGTTGACATAGGAGTTTCCCCAATGCCAAAGCACGTGGTCATTAAGGGCGAGAACAATACTGAGAAGAGAGGTGGTTCCTGCAAGAGTCCCAGGTAGGACTTGGTTGGATGGAGGAGGCTTTACCCTTTTACAAGGTGTTGAGTTCAAATTCCAGTTCACTCCTTCCACAAATGTTTATTAACCAGCCATGCTGTTTTGTGCTGGGCCTTTAGCTCCAGATTTTTTTCTCTGAAGACAGAACGGAAGAAATGAGCTGGAAGTGCTTCGGGAGGGGTTTTGACATCAGGAATGCTTTTCCGGCCGTGTAGAGTTATTACATAGTCAAGAAGACGTGGTGCTGCCTGTTCTGGAGAGCTTTAAACTTGGAAGAAATTCCTATCTGCTAGGCAGGCAGGCAGAGGCACCATGGGGAAGGCCACGGGGTCTTGAGACAGGTGGGGAAGATCAAGCCGAGGGACCCGAGGCCAAGTGTGTGGGATGCCATCACAGCTCAGAGCACACCCTGAACTTTCCCGAGACAGGAGCACAGGTGGGGTCTGGTCTGACTGGGTTCCGAGTCCAGGTCTAGCAGGGAAAGATGCGTGCTTATTCACCACCCCCCGCTCACACATGGGACACGCAGGCAGCTAGGCACACGTGGATACATGGAACCACACGCTCAAACACAGAAACTCAAAACACACCGAGAGAACCCACACAGCCACCCACACCGAAGTCCTGCCCGCCGCCTGCGCTGCGCTCTGTAAACACGCACTCACATCCGCCCGCACAGGGCACACGCAGCCTCCCGTCCCCGGCGCCTGTGTGCGTGCGCTCGCCCTTGGGCGCTTCTGTCTGTGTGTGCCCCCGGCTTCCAATCGTTCCTTTGGGAGGGGGGAGGAGTGGCTGCGAGGAGTGAGAGACTGGCGGGCAAGCTGAGGAGAAGGGAGGGAGAGCAGAGGGAGGGGGGAACCCGGCCGGGGGAGGAGGAGAGAGGCGAGGAGGCGGCTCTGGCAGCGCGCGGCGGCGGCGGCGGCGGTAGCGGCAGCGGCAGCAGCAGCGGCGGCGCGGAGAGCTCGGACTGGGAGCCCGAAGCTCGGCTGGGCAGCGGGAGAGGAGGAGCCACAGGAACTGCAGCTCTGCCAGCTTGGCCGAGCCCAGAGACACCGGCCTGGCTGGTCCACGCCAGCCGCAGGTGGGAAGGGCCTGGGATGGGGGGTGAGGGTCTCGGCTGGGGCTGAAGCTGAGCCGAGGTGCTGTCTCCTCCCTCTGTTCCGTAGACCGTGGCTGAGCATGGAGCTGTCCCCCCGCAGTCCTCCGGAGATGCTGGAGGAGTCGGATTGCCCGTCACCCCTGGAGCTGAAGTCGGCCCCCAGCAAGAAGATGTGGATTAAGCTTCGGTCTCTGTAAGTCCCCGGCCGGGGAATGGGGGGAAGGGACCTTAGGGAGCCTAAGCGGGAGGAGGAGGGGGGATAACTGGAGCTGGGCTGTGGGCTGGTTTTCTCCAGCACACATGTTGGCAGGTGCGAGGAAACACGGCCCTGACACGCGTGGCCAGGCCACATGTGCAAGGCATGTGCGGAGCAAGCCGGCCAGTTGGAGCGGGCTTAGGAGTTGCAAAGGTAACGATGTGCCTGTGCCTGTGGACCCCTGGCTGACACACGCAGCGCGTAGAAGGGGCACAGTATATGCGGTGTGTCAGGGCTGCAGGAGGGCAGCAGAAGTGCCAGGCTGACTCACACGTATCCCTGTGCAGAGTTGTGCAGATGTGGGCCACATGACATGCGTGTGCATGAGTGACCGCGGGTCGCAGAGGTATGTAGTGTGATTGCACACAGCTTTAGATCTACTGCATGGGAATACTTGTGCCAACCTGTGGGTCATGGGTATCTCAGTTGGGATTGGTAGTTTCTGCCTCCTGCACAGGGAGTGGGGGTGGGGGACACCCTATGCCTGAGCTGCTCATCTCTTGGGGCCTGGAAACTCATTCTATATATTAATGATGAGGGTACCCACCTGGAATCTGGAGCGGGGGTTGGAGCCCCCATCTGGAAGCTGAAGGAGGTGATGATGGTGAAGAAAGATTAATTGACAAAGGCAATGTAACTGGCTTAATCAAAGCCTTTTTGTTTATATAGGGTCTTCCAGGATCTCCAAGCACATTTGAGCATCTTTTCCTATTGTTTCAGTACCACGGCACTGGGGAGGTATAAATGGGGGAAGGACGAACTCAGGTATCTCATACTCCAGTCCCAGAGGAGGAAACTTCCTTTCCTCCTGCTCCTTAGAAAAAGAGAGGATTGGGTCAAAGATAAGCCAGGCACCATGTTTGTCTCCCAGTCAGCTGCTGCCATCAGGAAATCTCCACAGTCTGTTGATTCTTAATCAGGGAACAAGAGAAGATGTCCCTCTCTCCGAGATGAATCCATGGCCCCAGGAAGGAGGAAATAGATAGGAGACTATGGATGTTCAAAGAGGAAACACAGTAAACATAGCTCGAACCCATTTCCTCCCCTGTATTCTCCATAGTGAGCACTGAAGCTTTCTATTTCTGGGTCTGGTAGAGGGAGCGATGAGGGTAGGGGATGGATAGATGCTTATGTTATATTGTTCTTTAAATACTTTACCATGGTGATGAGATGACACCTTTCTATGGCAGGTGGGTCTGATTTATACCGTAGCTACTTGGAGAGGCCTTAGGGAGAACTGAGGCGTAGTGGGCATCAAGGCTTGGAATCCAAATGTGCTTCCCAGTCCCCGTCCTTGGCTGCCTCTGGCCAATCCAATTTGCTGGGCTCTATGAAGCGCAGCCTTGGAATGAGTTCTGGGATGAAGAAATGGAAAACCGGATTGCATTGATTTTTGTTGGGAGGAGCACTGTGTGATTCTTTTGTTGGGAGGAGCACTGTGTGATTTTGATAGAATATGATGCTCTGGTAATGGTAAATGAGCTGGGGAAAGGGGCAGATAAGGAAATAGTTGAATAAGGGCCCCAGGTCCATAAATGGGAGAATTCAACATGTCTCAGGATGGCTCTCCTAGCACTAGTGGCTCATGATACTTACCTTGCCTCTATTCCAGGTAACAGGGCCCTGCAAAGGAGTGGATATTACTAGCTTCACTGTCTCCCACACATTTCTAACCGAAAGGCTTTCCCAAAAATGAATTGCTTTTTCTTCCTTTAGTGTGAGAAGCACTCAGTAGTGAGAGAAGAGGATTCCCAGAAGGAGGCATGAAACCTGGGAAGAGAAGAAAATAGAGGCAGCTGTCCCTCCAGAGTGCCTTAGCTAAGATGTCCTTACATGAGATTAGGGTGGACGAGAAATCCTATTCTTATTGATTCATTCTGGTCTTCACTCACTTCAGCAGTCTGGTCCTTAAGAATGCTACCTTTGTACAATAAATTAGCAAGGAAAAAATAAAGCTAGATACATGTAATGTAACTTGCCCCCAAAAGTATAATCTCCTGATTATTAATGGGCAGGAATAGATTCCCAGTCGTACATCCTCAAAGCAGAGAAAGACGTTGATATCAAGGTAGATCACAACTTGATTGATGTTGATGGCTTACTGGATTTTGCGTTTTTGAATATTGGGGAGGCTCTGACAATTAGATAAAGGGAAATAAAAGGATTTAGGGCTTTGCTGGGTAAGAGGTGGGAGTTTCCCAACTCTCTCAATGGGGTGGTTTCTGAAGCGGTGAGAAAGGAGATGTTTCCCCTTTTAAGTGGAAATAAAGGTTTCCCCCGCCCCCGCCTTTGGCCAAGGTAGGAAAGGGTTGCTAAGTCTGGAAATAGGAAACAGATATGATTATCTTAGGATCGGGTACTGCATGGAAATGGAAACATGGAATATATACGTGTATGTATTTACCTATCTATCTATCTAGATCCTTCTACTCAACACATGCTATTCCCCGCCCCCCACCCCACCTTTTTACTTTCTGATTAGGACATCCAGACTTTCTTCTGGGAGACTAGGCCTGGTGTTTTGGACTCTGGATAAAAAGCCCACAGTAATATAATCATGCAGGGCAATTTTTTTGTTGGGAAGAGCATCCAGGAATTCTGTTTCCCACACTAAGACATTGTCAAAAATAAATTCAGAATCTAATGTGGATCATATGATCTGAAGAGAGTCTCTTAACAGTGTGATTTTACCTCTATCTTCAGGACAATTTCCCTAATTAAGCAGACTCATAAACTGAGGCATGAGAAAGGGTGAAAGAGGCATCTGGAGGTGATGAGTTGGCCAGGATGACTTTAAGCATCTCTGACCCCTCAGAGGAAGTATTTGACTTGGCTGTCTACCCTTCTCTGAGATCAGAGGGCTTTAGGGAATGGGAGGAAGACCAGAAGAGGTAGAAATAATTTTCTTTGTCTTTTGTGAATCAAGAAAAATGATAAGCAGACATTGATTTGCCATTCTCAGCTCATTTATTCATCCAATGGCTATTTCTCGAGTACCTTCTATGGGCCAGGTGGCATGCCGGATGCTGAGGATACAGTCAGTGGTGGACGAAACAGACATAGTTTCGTCCCTGTTCCTGCAGAGCTTGTAATCTGTTTCAACTCCATCAAGTGGTGTGGAGAGTGGGGGTGGTTCCCTAGTCCTTGTTTTGCTACACCCACCCAAGTGATGAAATTCTACCACTCTGGGTGTCTGCCTCATTTTTTCTTTAGGGGGCTTATGTACATAGGACAAGCATAAATATGCATTCTCTTTCTCTCAGGATGGTACGAGTATCGCTCTCTTTTCTCTGCTCCAGTTTCTCTTGGAATTTTACATTTGACAGATAGAACTTCCCCCTTCCTTTGTGACAGTATAGATATAGTTCCTTTTTCTTCTTTTCCTACATGGTACGTACTCAGGACCCTGAAAGTCTAGGCTTAATGTTCTATGCTGTGGTTCAAGGTCATTATAGGTGAGCTGAGGCAGGAAACCCATTTGGGATTATTTTTGCTTATCTTAGTTTCATCAGAGTCTAGTGTGATACCTTGAACATAACAGGCACTCAATAAATGCTGTTAAATGAAGGAATGAACAAATGAAATAGTGAATATATGTACATATGTCATGAGGTCCAGTTCTGTCTCGAATTCTGTGGTGCGTGTATCCCTTCGTGTTTGTTGAGTGGTTGGGGGGAGGAGTAGGAAATGGAGACGGAGGAAAGGGAGATGATGATGATGTGGTTGTTTTGAGAGGATGATGCTTAAAAGGTATGGGGTTTGGGGACCTCAAGACAGAGCCTGGAACTGAAGGAGTTACAGAGAAGATCCAGAAATTGGCGTTTGGATTGTGTGAATGAGATATGTTAGGATGAAATTGTGAATGCCTACCCGACACGTATACATATGTGTTTGGGTAAAGGTTGCTATGTGTGCTGGGGACAGAGCTCCATGAAGATGTGTCTGTTTTTATAAGTGGCATGTGTAATAATAAATGTGTTGGGAAGATGTGCACTTACCTGAATACCTGAAGTTGTCCTAGTTATGAGATGATGTATGTGTGCATGTAGATAATGGGATAATATCTCTGTGTGAGCTTGTGTATGTATTTGTGACACTCAGATTTTTTGACATTCCTGGGAAGTTCCAGTGGATGGGAGGAAGAAGCTGAGGGACTGGGTGCCTCATTGATTTAACCCTGCCTTTTGCCCTCTTTTGGTATATGCCCCATGTAGTGATCTTCTGTGGCTCTTACCAGTTTTGAAAATCATGCTGCCATTCTCGTTTTCCTGCCTATGGATGTGGAGCTGCTGTGAATATTGTAGCATAAACTATGGTTCCCTGGCCCTCTGGAGAAAAAGGAGTGTGCTTTTGGTGCTGTCCTCACTGGATTAATCTTTGCTCCTCTTCCAGCCTGGCAAAGGGAATCTCTCTTCTTGGGTTTCATACCCCACTTTTCCATCAAATGTCTCCTGTCTCTATTTCTTCCATCAGCTTTGTCTTGAATGAGGACTGTGTGGTATCTCTGAGAAGGTAGAGAGTAGAAAATTCCTGCATTAAGTTGAAGGTAAGGTACGGAGATAGGGGATCAAATTCAACCCCAAGGAAGAACTTCACAAACCTCTGGTCAGGATAGGCGGCTGGAGGGAGGGAAACAGGGAGGCAGTGTGGTTGCGGTGGAAGAGCAGGGGGAATATTGGGAGACTTGAGTTGGAGTTCACATTCCTGCTCAATTACAGCTGTGTAATGTTTAAGTCACATAGTCTCTCTGAGTTCTTTTTTTTTTTTTTTTTTCTTTTGAGATGGAGTCTTGCTCTGTCACCCAGGCTGGAGTGAAGTGGCTTGATCTCAACTCACTGCAACTTCCGTCTCCCAGGTTCAAGCAATTCTCCTCCCTCAGCCTCCTGAGTAGTTGGGATTACACGCGTGCCACTATGCCCAGCTTTTTGTATTTTTAG